CATATGCTCCTCCATGAAAATGAAGAACTACATCACCGGCGTCTTTTCCAGAAGATGGTTGATGTGGATACCACGTCCCACCGATACTTTCTGGTTTAAGCTCGGAATTCGTTATAGTGACTCCTTGGTAACGGGATGATGAAGCGGGTTGGATGGTTAAGAATCGTGATCCCTCGGCGCCTGGAAGTAGATTAATGATGGTAGCTGATTTGGTGATTGAGACGGATTTGACGAAAGCTTTTATGATACGGATACGGAGGGCTTGGGTGTAGGTCCATTTTGGCGAGGGTCGGGTAATGGAGGGAACATAGTAGATAAGCCAGAAAGGGATTCGAATCAGATTTAGAGCTATGGCGCCGAAGATCCATAGATGTTTTCCGGGGAAGGATGTGAATAAGGAGTCCAATTCCATGACGCGTGTTGTTGCACAATAATGAAAGTGTGCTCCGAAAACTTCAATTGAACTCAATTGGGTTTCAGATTTTCAGATAATGTCTACACCATTTGATGAAAGCAAAGAGATACTTGATTGGGAGGTAGATTCGAACACAATCTTGAGATATCAAAGTGTGATGGAAGGAGAAACGTGGATCTGTAACAAATTATACCTCGAGACTTTACCGAGGTTTGTTCGCCCAATAGTGCCGCTCCGCTACAGCCTCGCCCCGCTTAGGACGGACAACGGAAAAGGAAAAGTGCGAGCGGATATCAAGAATTATGATTTCGAGTTTCAGTTTACACTGTTGATTTCGATCAAGATATAATGTTGGGGTCATAATTCTCTAACAAAAGAAAGCATATGTGGAATCATGACCCGTAAAATCAGATTTACTATTACGACGTTTCCAGATCTTCGAAAAGTCGAACTTGTATACATAGATGATGAGATAACTTGATATAAACCAAGTAATGAATCAGCAAAGAGACATAGGATTATTCGAAACGTTCAAATATATTACCATCCATTTCCTAATACCCCACTATTAAATTGATAAACGATGTGCATCCATTGCATATTCATTCCATACACCAAAAATCAAAAATCGTCCATAGAAAAGAATAAACCGATTGCAATGGCCCCTATCTCTTCTTCTCCTCCTGAGAAATAGAAAGCGGAAAACCTTCGCAGGTTGGTACGAAATGAATAAATACGTATCCCCCTGAATATTTTTCACAACGTAATTTTGCTTCTGTTCATGCCATACTCAGTCTATTCAAAACATTAATCATCCTAAATCCCAAATCACATCCTTCAAATTCCCAATCTACCAAACGACCATCAAACCTAAAATGCCACCTATAATACCCACCATCATCGCCACATTGGCATTGACAATACGGGCAGCTGCCCCTGTGAATGGTACATAAGTGGGGGACCCCAAGAGTGAAGTCGTTCCGACAGGACCCACTGGAATAACCGTAGAAGTAGCTGGTTTGCATCCGCCAGGTGGGCAAACAGGCACTATAGTTGCGGCGTATGTTGGAGCTGGCGTCGGAGCAACATACGTGATGATTGTAGTAGGAATACCTTCGACTTCTGAGACAATTGCAGTTGCAGTTGGACCGGCTGGGTAAGTGATATAAGTTGTGACACCAACTCCGTAGATAGAGGTGGTATATGTAACTGGAGATGGAGCAGGTACATAGATAGAAGTCTCGGAAACACGGCTTACTGGTTCGGAGTGAGTGCCGAGAGTTGGGACTGGGACAACATAGACGGATGATGGTGGAAGTGTGCTATATACTGGACAAGTTGGCATGGTGTATGGAAGACAAGTCCTGCATGGGAGAATAGTTGGTGGAACTGGAGTCCAAGTGTACGAAGTTGGGACTGCAGTTTCGTGGCATGAGGTTGTAGTGGCTGTGATAAAGCCTCCAGTTGGGCAGGGGACACCGGCACTAGATAATGCACATGCGTAGCAAGGATATCCTACAGTTGACGTGCTCCAGATTGGTTTCTGTTCAGTGGAGCAATCACTTGTGATATATGAAGTAACTGTTTGATATTTTAGTGATGATCCCAGTGAAAGAAAAGGAGTTACGAACCAGTCTTATCTCCAATAGTATGACATGATTCAATGATTGATACATAAACGACAATTTCAACACCGACTATCTTGTCTCCAGTTGGGCATGCGGGAGTAACATATGGAGGAGGAATGAAAGTTCTAAAGACGGATTAGTACAGAGCTATCCATCGCCAAGTAATTACTTACGTAGTAACAGTCGAAATATCATGAATAGTCTTGGTATCATGACCTGTAACAATATCGTGGATGGTAGCAGTGACGGTCCTGTTATGATCAATAGTCGAAATGATAGTCTTGTTGCCATATGGGACAGGAACTCCACTAGATCCCGATGGGATATATGGTGGAAGAGTGGCAGAATGCGATGGAGTATGAACGGGAGTCGTTGTGTTTGGTGTCAAAGCTGGGAGACAATGACCATCACCAGTTGGGCGACCAGATTCACATTTGCAACTTGCAGAACACCCATCACCAGCAACAGTGTTTCCATCATCACACTCTTCGTTTAATGATGCTTCCCATTTTCCATCACCACATCCAGCTGGGGTCGCACCACGACTGATGATATATGGTAGTCCAATTGTCTTATCACCGAAAGTTTGCGATCCGACACCAATAACGTCTTGAGCAATGGCAAGAGCTTGGAATCCGTTAATCCCAACAGATGGATAACTGGAGAAGGCTTCATGAACACTGCAAGACCAACTGGATAAGGCGGCATCATTAAGAGTTCCGAGAGCAGGTGAGGATGCAACAATATGAGCTTTGTTGTAGCAATCAAGATTTCCTCGAACGGTGAAGTCTCCGAAGTATGAGAGTGATTCTACTTTCGCAGAATCCACATTATTATAATAACAAGACAACGCGTAGTAGAGACCAGTCTGTTGAGTGCCAGCAAGACTCTTCGCAGATGCTGCAAATTTGATGGAATTATCAATCAAAACTTTGGCACCAGGTTGAGCTGAGAAGTGAAAGGTAGGATCCGTGCCTGATGTTTGAGTTAGTAAAGTCTTCTTAAATTACGAACTTGTTTGGGTGTTCTTACCGATAACAACGATGTTACCCTGGACTGCTGGTCCCCAAGTATTCTTGGTATCGGTCAAGAATTGAACATCACTAGGTGATGTTGAACAATCTGGATCGGCAATGACAATGGCTTTGAAAGCAGCAAACTCGGTTGTTGTCATTATTTTCCATTGTGCTTCACTAACCACCTTTGTAGTGTATCCAAGGACAGATGTTGCCTCCGCGAGCTCTTTGAACTCGAATGTATCCACAAAAAGTAGATCTTCTGCAAGAACAGAAGCTGTCAGACTGGCCAATAGACCCCCGGTGGAAAACTTCATTATGGTAAGGGGTAAATAATTGGAATATATTGAGAGAAGTTATATGCGACAACGTTCAAAGACGAGTGTGTTTGTTAAAGAGTGACTTAAGAAGAAACGAGTGACGATAGTAAAAAGATGAGAAAGGGGGATAGAAAGACTGGAAAGGACACAATATATACGCAGGGAAATCACAATACTTTCTTCCAACTTCTCCGCATGATATTCTTAGCTTAGAAAAGCTGTGAGGTAATAGATCCTAACATAATAGAGGGCTGGTTTACTATGAACAAACTGAACAATAGAACAGTCGATAATAACATTGAGTGTCTGAAATTCCTGTGTGACAGGTCGGATATCAACATCGTACCTGCATAAGTTCGGAATCGTTTACGCCTCCAACATCCTGTACCTCCTTGCCGAAGTATGATTGTAGGCAAGCCGATCATGTGCATTTTTTCAGCTCAACAGCCATATTCTTGGCAATGAATGGTAAGGTTTCACAAAATGCTTTTTTGTGCAACAATTATCCAAATTTAGAGAATGAGGAGATTGGTCAAAAGACATACGATGTGTAAAGCATAGAATAATTTGAAGTAGTCAGCCGTCGTCTCCATTGCCTTGTAAGGCTTCGCTAGGTTTCGGTCGATCAATGCAGGTACGATTAAAGTCATTACCCCCAGAAAAAGAGATATTAACAAGCTGGGATTATGCCAAGTGGGAGAGTAGATTTATCTTGCTCAGGGGAAAGCCGGAGCCTCAAATTGAGTTATTGAAAATAACCAAGATGACACTTGCCATTGAGCCAACGGTGCCACCAGAGGAGCAAGGGCAATTCTCCCGAGCTCGTGGAATTGTAGATCTTTAGATCACGAATGTTATTTCTTGTGATTTGTAAGGATCTTATCCAACCATCAGTCCTGAAGGATATGAGTTCCAATGTGGGTGATAAAGTTGGTGCAGAAGGATGAAGGAATATCATTGTGACGCCAAATGAGACGGTGAATGTATCAACGGCAATAATTTCTGGACGCCGGATTAGCCTGCGTAGCGAAGTTTATCCGATGATGACTATCAAGTGATTAGCCCCTGCTCTCACTCTACCTTCGACCTTCACGTATTTTCCGCATTTACTTCCACCTCTTCATTGAACTCAGGTCCTCAAGTTTTGATGAACTTAGTCGGCTCCAAAACAACATGGTAAGAATGTTGATACAAGTTTTCAAGATAATACCTCTACCCATCCATTTTATCATCAGGATTGCTCGAATTGTCTTGTACCGCGCGGTTACATCAAATTGCTTACTATGGCCGTGCTCCTTTACCAGCTTGACACAGATCACCAAGTGAATCTTCATCTCATTTTCTGCATCATTTCGTAGCAGTAATTGATGTGATTGCTGCGGTTTCTCTGATAATCTACAATTTCTAAAACATGGAGAAGTACTCTCCATATTCGAAGCCCTAAATGGTCATGATTCAGGGTCTAACAATGGGGGCTTGGATCTTGAGAGCTTGTATTTATATGAGAGGCGGTATCTTCGATACACCTCCATGTGTTTTTAGTTTCTCCATTGAATACTACACAATTCGGAGTTGAGTTTTCAATTTTTGTTTCTATCAGATATTTTTGGTCCCATCAAAAATGACTGCCTCAATTCATTCCGCTCATCTTCCAATTACACCGCGCTCTTCCCCCTCTTCCAAACCAACTACCAATTCAAACTTCCCGATCACTAACCTCCCCACTGACATTCTCCTCACTCTCTTCCGTCTAATATCATCTCCACAAACACTCTCCGCTCTTTCCCTCTGTTCCCGCCAATTCCACCACTACATCACTCCCTATCTGTACTCGCACTTCCTCCACCTCGGCGATACATGCACTTCCCTCCCGCATTTCCTGCACACCATTCTGCATAATCCCCACTACGCGCTCTACACCAAAATCTTTACCTGCAACGCCCTCCTAGGCTATAAAACCGACATCTCCATCTCCAATTTCTCCCCCTCCGACCTTGTCCTCCTGAAATCCTGTCTCAAATCCATCTACACCCTAGAAGACGGCTCACGCTCTCCATTCTTTGGCTCCCACATCGCCTCACAATGGTACAATTTTATCCTCCAAGGAAACTGGGATGCCATCGTGGGTCTAATCCTCTGTCTCCTCCCTAATCTCCAATCTCTCAATATAATCAACCACGCGAGCGGTTGTCCTTACGGATATCCCTATCTCGAAACCGTGCTTAACCGAGCCGCAAATTTACAAAATCAACGACTTCGCGATCCCACCCGCATATTTCAACCACAAGCATATTCATTCCCGCATCTACGTTCTTTACATTTGGCAAAGCATGACACCATACATTATCCACGCATGGGATTTGAGATTCTGCGCGCCCTCCCCTTTTTAGCGATTCCCTCAATACGAGAAGTCAATACCCACATGCTTTCGGATTATCATTTTCCATTTTCCGTTTTGCCTTCTTCTCTTTCTTCTCCTTCTCCTACTCAACAAGCGCAAACCCCACCTCCAATAACACCCTTCACCCTCTCAACCTTCTACTCTCCTCCGCTTCCCAACTTCACCTTCCACGTCACTCATCTCCACCTCTCTCACACCGTTCTTCGACAGGACTCCTTAGTCCCATTTTTCAGCTACTTCAAATTCCTCAAATCTTTACAATGGGAATGGGATTACGATACTCAAATCGGGAAAAGAGAAGGATTGGAATTTTCATTCGATATTAATCATTTTCTGCATTCCATCGCACATTTGAGAGATATTCTCGAGGTTTTGAGACTTCGAGTTTCAGAATCATCATCATCATCATCATCATCATCATCTGCTGACACGCATGATGGCAGCGAAGATGAAGACGAAGAAGATGAAAGAGAAGAAAATGAGTATCAACAACAACAAAAACACCACAGTTACAACAACGAGAGCGACGAATACCATTCCATCATCACCCAGCTCTCGCACTTCTCAAAATTGGAAGTCCTGAGCCTCTCCGCAAATCTACTTCCGGCCCCCAAATCTGCATCTCAAATCTCAAGCTCAGACTCAGACGCAAATTCGAGCATGGTCTCGGACGAAAGCGAACACGAGCTCGAAGATCAACATGACTCCCTCCCCCTACCAAAATGTAAATCCCCCCCACACCCAAATATCGATCTTCACATCGCTACTTCCCAAAATCCTCGCGGAGAAGGAGAAGTCAAACACCTTATCCCCAGTCCCAGTCCCACCCTCACCTTCAACTCCCCTCAACCCAACTCTACTCGATCCCATAAAAAAGTTAAACGCTCATCCTCACCCCCTTGTGAAACATGCATACACCATGCCTCTCGCGCACGGGAGACACAAGTGCGGGCGAGACGGATGATGCAGTGGATGCGGTATAGTGGTGGGGAGGAGGCGGGGAGAGAAGGGGAGAGTGTTGGTACAGATTAAATTGACGGATTGACAACTATGAAGAGCGTGTAAACTACGAGTCTCTTAAGCAGAAGGAAGAAGAAGGGGGGAGGGAAACAAACACGAAAATAGTTATAATGATAGATGTAATAGAGATAATATAATGACCTGGGGAAATAACGAATGGATGGATACTCACTCGGATATAAAAGTAAGTAGTATGTATTATTGACTAGATACCTAGTACCTAGTAACCTAATACTTGAAACAGTCACAAAATGTTATTCTAATGTCAAAACACCATATGAAATCAAGTCGTCAAATCCATCTCATTGATATCAATATTGAAAACTAACTACTCCAAGCTATTTGTGTTTCGTTCTTCGTTTCTTTTCTTCTTCCACGATGACCTCATCTCATTCATCTCAATTCATTCATTCAATCATTCATTTATCCCCGTCAAAACATTTATATCCCATCCCATCAATTCCGTCAATTCATTCTTTGGTTTCGTTTCCAATTCATCCATTCCCCATCTCTCATATCTCATTTCATTTTTTGTTCCATCCTCTCTTATTCAGCCATACAATTCAATGCATCCCATGTAAAAATATCTCCCCTTCTCGTTCAATTTCTACCCTCTCAAATCAAACCCCTCTTACTATCCTTCGCCTTCCAACCCTTCAATTTACGTTCTGGTCTAGGAACATCTGGTCTACCAGCAAGAATATCCACAAATCCCTTCAAATCCAACCAGAATTCATCCTTTGGTCTTCTATTTGCCCAATCTGTTTCGTTCTCTTCGACATCAACCATACTAGAGAATACAACTTGTGCACCCTTGATACCAATGACCGTTGAACTTTGTTTATCCTCGATAATCTTTTTATCGGTTCTATCTTCATATTGTTCGAGATGTTCAATACACTTGATAGCTAAGCGAACGGCTCGGGTACGATCCATGGGAGATGGAGTACCACCTTGTTGAACGTGACCTGGAATACTATCTCTGGATTCGAAACGATCGGCAGCTTCTTCACGGATCATGTCAGCGATAAGTTTGGCGTGGTAAACCTTCGATGCTTTTTCGTTGATGAGAATAAGACGTCCAGCTCTTGATTGGCCACTGTCTTTCTCGAAAACTTCCTTAAGATGTGCAATATCTGCTGCTAGCATACCGATACTAACACCTTCTTCAGGAGTATAGACAGCTGATGCACCAACAGCGAGACCAGCCATGGTAGCAACGTAACCAGATCGACCACCTTGTGTTTCAATAACGAAAACACGACGACGGGAAGCTGAAGCGGATTGTTTAATGGTATCGCAATAACGGACAAGCTCGTTCAAACAAGTATCCGAACCAATCGAATATTCTGTTCCTGGAACGTTGTTGGAGATGGTGGCTGGAAGTAAAGTCATAGGAATGCAAAGAGAAGAATAAGTTTCTCTTGCTTGACGAAGTTCGGACAAGGCATGGAAACCTTCGAAACCTCCAATGATGAGAAGACCATCAATCTTGAATTTCTCAAAAAGTGATGCGATCAATGGCATTCCAGATTCTGATGGAAGTTCACGGTTCATGCCAATTTCTGAACCACCCTTACTAGCCCACCCATCAACTTCTAACCAATCAAATTCTCGAACCGATCCTGGATTATCTTGGTGATGTCTGGCAAATCCAGCGAAACCGTTATGAATAGCAATTGGTGTATGTCCACGAGTTAAGCAATAAGCAACAGCGGCACGGGTAGCAGCATTAACACCACCAGCTGGAGCTCCGACATGTACGATAGCAATTCTCATGTGCTAAATGATGTTAGTATCAGAAGAAACAGAATTTCCATCATCACATACCTTCTTATCAGGAAGACGCATTTCATTGTTAAGATCAGTAGCTGTTGTAGTCATGTAGGAATCATAAAAGTCGGAAAATTCTGTATCTCTGAGTGCCATGGCTCTTCCGAAATCTTTTGCTTCAATGGCCTTTGCGACTTCTTGAGTATCAATAACAGATTGAACAAGTGGTTTTCTTGTAATTTTGTTCTCGTTAATGGCGATGAAAGGGGTAACCGTTTCTGGTGTAGCATCAAGAACAGCATTAACTGCTTCGATACCTTGCAAAGTGGAAAGATATCGATCATAAGCACACGCGGAACCACCACGTTGAACATGACCCAATGTTGAAATACGTGTATCAAGAGCGAGTCCATTCTTGTCTGCAAGAAGATCCTTGATCATTTCTGGAGAGATCTTGTTTCCTCCTTGATCATGGGCACCTTCAGCAACAATAACAATAGTCTTTCTCTTTCCCAATTGTCTATGCTGTGTAATTGTTAGTATGATCAAAAATTGTAGGAATGTAATAATCATACCTTCTGAATGACCTTGTGCATCTCTTCTTTCCAATTGTCTGCTCTTGGTTTTTCTGGAATGAAAACAAAATCTGCACCAGTAGCAACACCAGCCATCAAAGCTAACCAACCACAATGTCTACCCATAACTTCAATAACGAAAGCTCTTGAATGTGATGAAGCGGTTTGTTCGATATAATCCACCATCTCACAAATCTTGCCAAGAGCTGAAAAGCAACCAATTGTAGCATCGGTACCAGACATATCATTATCAATTGAACCCACCAATCCAACGATGTTGAGATGCTTGAATGGTGCAACTTGTTGTTCCGATAATTCCTTCTTTTCAATCAATTCCTTGATCAATCCGGGCCATTCCGCTCTGAATTTATCGGCTCCAGTCAAGGAACCGTCACCACCACAAATGATGAGAGCATCAATTCCATTCAACACCATGTTCTTTGCTGCTTGTAATCTGCCGGGTCGTTCATAGAAAGCCATACATCTGGCGGTACCAATAAGAGTACCTCCTTCCGATTGCCATCCCCGAACATCTTCCCAGCCCATCTTTTTGATCAAATTTCCACCTTGAACTAGACCTTCATATCCTTCATAGATACAATATGGTTCACATCCCTTGTAAATTGCCATTCGAACGCAAGCTCGCACAACACCATTCATACCAGGGGAATCACCTCCACTGGTCATGATAGCGATGCGTCTTTTCTTTCCCTCGAGGGGTGGTGGGGGTTGAGGAGCCATGATGAATGTTGAGTTGTTGTTTTGGTTGAAAGTAAATAGGTTGGAGGGGTATAAGGTTGAGGCAAGGTGGGAGGTCAGAGAGGGATTCTGGGGTATAATGGATAAGTGAGGTAAAAAAATGGTATGAGAGAAGAGAGAGAAAAATCGAAGAGAGAAGAATGAAGTTTTGAGATAGGATAAGTATGAAGATTGTATTGACTAGTAGATTCTCTTACTTTTAAAGAATGACGAAAAGTTGAGAGGGCAGTTTGAAATAAGATGGGTCCTTCATGTATTTTGGTGGGCTGAGACCTTGTCAATTTTTTTTACGAGGAGCTTTATCGGCTTTGTTAATGATGGTACGCATGGGCGGGGGCATGGATACCTATGGCTGCGTTGCTTATCGGACGGGTTGGTATTGGGATTGGATTGGTATCATCGGCATCGGTATCAACTTGGAGAAATCCGTTTGGGAGTGACAAAAAGTCTTGGTAAAGGGTGAAAATTCCCATCATGATGAAGATACACATTTTGTTATTTTAAAAGCAGGAGTCATGTGAGCGAACAGAATGATTCTTGATGTGTAGGTGAGGCCATGCATCTTTCCATACATCTTTCCATATATCATGATAGTATGTGTGTATCTACGTATGTGTGTATCACGGTGTGTATATACACGTAAATGTCTGTGTCTAGTAATTATATATATATATGCATGTATATACGAAGTAGCTCCTGGGTATCATTCTCCTGCAATACACCCCTCAGCCAAGCGGTCAACATTTCTCTCCATCGTCGGTGACGGCTACTCAGACTGCCTCTCCATTACCTTCATCTACCCTGAGTTCAAGTTTCCGTTTCCATTTTCATACCTATTGTGTCATGTTTTTGCGGAAACTCTATAAGGCGGAGACTTCATCGATGCTCGTGATTGGTGAATCTCTGGTACCTGAGCCATATGTACATCGTAGTGTCGGACTCAATTCGGGCACGCTATACTATATCCTATACTTCTGACATCACAAGGAGAGTAAACAAGCTCCCAAGCAAAACTTTCCAACAACGACAATGGGAGGGTTGAAAGACGGCCGGGGTGAATGATTCGAATAGTTGATGGGAGAGACCCGAAGTAAAAGGTTCATGCTACTCGAGTATGCTATCGAGATGATGTAGATGCGAAGGATGATCAATCCAGAGTACGGTAGTATCGTGGAATATCAATTTGACATTGAAATATATATGTATATTTGATGAGATCCGTCGAATATTGGTAGAGACAAAAGAGATACAAAAGAGATACAAAAGAGACACAGAAGAGATACAAAACAGGTGCATGGATATTGTGTTATTAGTAGGTATCATTGGTCTCTAGCAGTGATAAAGCGGTGAACCTTCTTTTCTTTAAGCGGGGCAGTATTCTGAATGTTGTTGATGCTCAATCCTCAAAAGAATTGCCGTAGAGCATTTCAATTTCAATAGACCTCCAAAGCCTTATTACAAGCTTTCAAATTTACGAAAGGCATCGCGGAATCACTAATAGTAATCTCAATCTCACTGTCACAAATCAATCAATCTCTCAAATCCTACCCGGCTCTTCAAAATGTCAACTCTCCCCAGTGACCATCCACTTTCATTGCGCCCAGCACCAAATACATCCAATACCTCCATTCCATTACCCCAATTAATCGCAAGAATCAATGCCGAACGAGGTGGCTTTCGCAATATTTCAGAAGACAGCCTGCGACAAGAGATCGCGGAAGCTGAAGCTGGAGGAGACGAAGAGGAGAATGAGAGTTCCAGTGAGGATGGAGAAGCAGAGGAGGAACCGGATCGAATGAAAGAACTTCTCACAGCAAGAGATGAGATTCTTGGTCAAATTGAGTATGTTGTGTTTTGTGAAAAGCAATGCGCGAATACTGACATGTCTGTAGACATGCCCATAATGCGGCTATGATATCTCTTGATTTCATTTCCCTCCTTCTTTCGAAAGATACCCCCGTACAAGCTAGCACATCAATATCACCATCACTTCGTGAACTGGCTGGAATGGGTACTTTGGGTGCGGACAAAACCGTAGCCCCACGATTTACCAAAGAACAGAATCAAGAAAATAAAAAGATAGCCAAAGGTTGGAAAGCATCAAATCTCAGCAAGACCGTAGATTCGATTCTGGCATCTGCCACCCGATTAGAAAAAGAAATCAACGCGGAAACAAAATATTGGGAACAAGTACTTGCTGTTAGTGAAAGTGGATGGGCAGTATGTCGATTGCCCCAAGAAAAACATACATTGGGTGTTAGATTTGGATTTTCAGAAGGTCAGTACATTCTACTTTCCATACCTTGACCTATGCTAACATACTATAGCCTCTCCAACATTTCGAAATCGTAGTCTCGGTGCACTTAGACGAAACCCTGATGGATCAATATACTTAGACCAAGGGATTGCAAGTCCAGAGCCTCAGAGTATACGAGTTTTGATCGAAACCAATGGAGTTACAACCGGAGAAACCATACTTCCTAAAGCAGTACCACATGATGCACCTATTCAAGATTTAATTCTTCAAGCACGAAACACGATTTTTGCCTCTGAACTTTGGCAAGAAATGACTCGGGAAGTTAGAACTCTCGCATCTCATGGCCTCCAATCAGATTCCAAAACGAACACCATCAGATTTCCAATTTCTCCAACTAAGAGGATCTTGATCGAGCTTCAGACAGTACCTACCGATCCTTTCCGACCAGTTCTTGGTCCGAGACCAGATTCATACCTTGCCAATGGCATCTATCTGACTCTTCACCTTCTTCTATCTCTCTCGCATCGTCAACAATATCGTATTCGAACTCGTCCACCACCACCAATCTCCAGCCAACCGCGTCCAAACAACCCATTCCCTATTCTACGCTCTTTAGTGACTCGCCTCGCTCACGAAACGGTCGTTTCGTCTCTTCACTCACTTCTCACCCCGCTCTGCAAGACACTTACCTCCGCCTCTCTTTCAACTCCACCAACCTACACCATTCTCCCGGGTACTTCTTCACCTTTACCACATCTTTCAACTCCCGAACGGATTCTCACCGCTTTAACAAATCAGCTCGAATCCCTAACCACAATTAATTTCCCCTTTCCCCTTTTATCACCACCTCATTCCTCAATCCCATCATCATTTTCACACACGACTCCACTAACTCCATTGCCTTCGTCCCTTCAAATCCGCACGGTAACCACTACCCTCAACTACTCTCGGCCAATCTACTATCTACGCATAACACCAGAAACTTCTCCTCTCCTTCAAATTTGTCCACCACCCAGCACAGTACCAGAATGGGATTATGTGAAAAACTACATTCTCTGGGCCGTCAGCTGTTGGCTCGCACACATCTTCTCCTCTTCATCCAAACCAAGCGAAGATGAAGAACCCTGGAAACCAACAACCCAGCCCAACATCCTCCGCAAAATCTTCTCAGAAGAATCGCCATATGAAGGAGGCGTCAAACAAATCTGTTTCGACGTCTCGTCGATTCCAATCCTGGGACCAGAAGCTCCGAATAAAATTGGAGAGATGGGGAAAGAGACCATTAAAATCTCGGTTAGGTGGGAGTGGACCACAGGGATGGAGCAGGAGTGGAAGGAGAAGGAGAAGAGGGATTTGAAAAGAGGGGAGGGGGTGTATGATTGGTATTATGCTGGGGTGCAGGGAGGAGAATTGGAGGAGGTGGTTAGGAAGATGGGGGAGGTCGTTGAGGAGGCTGGGAGGGGGAGGGAGAGGAGTTAGGGATCTATGTGGGGGTTCTTGCATATTTTGATCTTGAATCATGTAAATATCAAAATGATTGAATAGTAATAAAGCTGTGGAAAGAACCTGAATTCTGGTTCTCACAATGTACAATTTGGTATCTACTTCTGTTTATTCAATCCATGAACTAGTGGTAGCAAAGAAAATCGTTGACCTTTTTGTAGTTGAAAATAAGAGAAAGAAATTGATGGGGGCGTTTCCTTTTCAATTATACCTCTTTCTAGACCTACTTCAATATCCTCACCTTATCGTCATTTCTGGCTTTGATCTAATTGCGATACTTTTATCATGTGAAAGATTGAATGTCAAAAGTCTCATCCAGCATTGCAATGTGATACTCTCAGTTGCACTCTTGAAAGAAAGACTGATTGATACACAAAATTTGCTTTTAGTTTTATCTCACCATCAGTGGGAATCTAAGAAAAGATCTTTAAAGGAAACTTCTTTTATAGCAGATTGTTTTCGTCTCTTTTCGTCTCTTGTCTTCCATTTCTTTTTTGCAGTCTCAGGCTTTGATCGCTACCGTTGTATCCCAAACAAATAACAATGAACCCATCAACCTACTTAAACCTCTCCATACCCCTCCCACCACGTTTTACATTGAGCGCCCCAACACGATTTCCCAACCACCTCAATCCCAACCTACATTCTCTCAGCACCTCTCTCATTCATCCATCTTCAAGTAGACAATTGCCACCACAATGCCACGCAAAAACCGAGCCGTTAAAGCCAAGTCTGAACACCAATCAATTTCGCCAACTGAGCCAGAACCCGAGGCGCAACTCCGTGAAAGTCAAATGAGCACGCAATCACAATCTTGTTTCAATGAGGAAGACTTGGGACCCGAAGTTCAGCTCCGAGAAAGCCAAATGAGCACACGGTCGTGTTCTGATACCGATGCAGCGGGACCAGAATCTGAAATAGGATCCCTAGCCGCTTTAATCAAAGAGTCCCATGATTACTTTAAGAATCAAGAAGAAACGTTGTCTACTTGTGTTTCTACCCAAGAGGCGAAATCTCCAACCAAGGACGACGATGTAGAAGCTGAAGCAGAAAGTGCCCGCGCCTCGAGCGATGAAGATACTCAGAATCATGGACGGAGACAAGAAGAGCCGCTGGCTACGGGAATCCAAACATCTAGAACCGGCGCCCAAATGGAATTGAACGTCGAAGATGATCCGCTACATATGTCAAGCGATGAGGTGTCTCGAAACCCCTTTCAGGATCCCCCCATGCATCTATCCCAGAACCAACATATTCAAAGCGGGGAGTCGGATCCTGATGATCTCGACAAAGGAGGAAAGCCTGCATGGTTTGCAGAAAACAAATTATATTGGAAGACAGTTCACGAATCTACTCATCTCGTGGCTGATCCAACTATGAGCCCCCCTGACAAATCCGACCCCGAACCTGCGTTGCCAAACCTTCACTCCAACACAGAGAAGCGACCCGAAAGCACAAAATCTGCATCCTCTTCTCCAGCACCACAATACCAAAAGGTCCACACTACCGAGATGGTTCGCTCAGAAACCACGAGAATTATACGAAGCTTCCAGCAAGAAAAGATACGCATCGAGACGGCATTGAAGAGCGATTCTGACTTATCAACTTTGCGCGAAAGGGAAGAAAAGTTAGAGGATCATGAGACGATACTGAGTAATCTTATTGATGAATTGATGATTGAGTTGAAGAAGACAAGGGGTGAGTTAAAGAGGATTAGTAGGAGGTATGGAAAAGCCTTGGCAGATTTTGAAAAGGCGTCGGACTGATGGGATGAAAATGGTGAATTCGTGAGGGGAAAGAAATTGATCAGGAATCTCGAGCTGGTGCGCTGGCACATTTTATCTTTACATTCCAGAGAAGGAAGACTTTCACTTAACATTGCAAGTAGGCAGTAGTGTGATTGGCTAAACCGAAGAAATACATTTCAAGTCCTAGATTTTGTGAGTTCCTTTTGCGTGATACATCTTCCGTCTTAAGAGCCCACGATTGAGACAGGCCAAGAGTCCTAGTTTCCGGAAGCCATGACCTACTCTCCCTGAACATTATTCACGCTCTATGCCAAATTGACCACTCCGGTCCCTTCCCAAGTACTAACCCATCCTGCGAGTGGACATAGTATATCAGCTATACTCCAAAGAGGCGCCCACCAATTAAAGAAATAAATCGTTCCATATGAATTCAATCCCGTTATCGTCGTTAAAATAAATGAGACGGTATACACAACGAGGAGAAACGCTATGATCATATCGAAATGTTGTCTTGTCGCTCTATTTTCCGATTTAATCAGTTCGAGACACAACCAAATGGGCTGTACAGATTCAAATTAGATATGTAAATACATACCTGCTCCCATAAACCCACCTCTCTCCCCTCATAATATCCAACCACCAAAACCCAATACATACAAACCAAAAATTAAACAAAGCACTCAAAATTTGCCACAGAATCCACAAGCTTCCCCATCCCCTAATATAAAACAAATTCAACGGGATATGGAGTAATATTCCGGTCACGCAAATGATCTTCCGCATGGTGTTTTCACGATCATTGTATCTCCATCGAGCAAGCCATTGAGTGAAGGTTGATCCATCAGGAGAATAGGTGGAAATACTAGGTAGACCGATTCCTGCGCCGAAGGAAATACGGTCGTGGTTGATACCCGATTGACTGAACGTGAGAAGAAGAGGAAAAGGCATTTCAAGATGAGAGATCTCGATTGAGAGTTTGAGAGTGCAGAGGAAGCAGAAAGAAAAGGAAACGTAGAAGGGTACGATGGGGTCTTTATTTGACCTCAATGTCAGAGGATGGGTGCAGGGGTCAAATGTAACCCTACAGCCTCGTTGCCTATTTTATGGTCATTTCAACCCATGCTTCTCAACGGCGCAGCATATTGTGCCTATCCAATTGTCAGTAAGTGAGACGGTGTTGTCTGTGGTTTTTGATGGATTGAATCACATATGATCTCTGTTGACGTTTCATATGTATGTGCTGTATGTATGTATAGGTGATAATGGCGCGTCCTAGATGATCACAAAAACTGATATACATTGTTCTGAAGAGCATTCGATTTTCATTTATTGGAATGAAACACAGAGATTGGTAAGAACCATAAATATTCAATCAATTCTAACTATTGACATCGTAATGCTATTGTGCTGAAATTTACATAACTCAAGAAGAAAGTGAAGGGGGAATATAGGACCAGCCCTACCGCCTTCGGGAAAAACATGCTGACAAATCCGCGACGCAACTACAACCACACATAAGAAATTCGATCGGCTTGAAAAGTTCTGTATCAGATTGAACACCATCACGATATTATTATCCCCCTGACACAGCAGCAAACAAAGCTGATGCAAACCTGCTAAAGATTCCACCTGAAAATCTGCTTTCCTCAGGATATTTCTGATCGCGGAAATCCCATCGAGAATCCGAAGACGAATTCCGCCTGTATCTAGGCCTTTCCCGTCGTCTCTCATGGTCATCTCTTTCAATTTCTTCTCTGTACCTGTCCCGTCGTCTTTCATAATGATATCTTTCCGATAGTTCTCTATCCATACGGTACGATCTATCCAGCTCCCGAAGGATTGGATTCGATTCTCTGTACTCTCCCATGACTGGTCTCCTCGTTCTCCGGGTCTCCCCTCCACTTCCATCACCCGACCTCGACTGAGGTGCTCTTATCATGGTGTTATGGTGATTAGAATGATTATTGCCTCCGGAGTTTGCAAAATAGTAAGCTGTGTCCGAGTGAGGGGAAGGAAATAATCCCATGGGAATTGATATGGGGTTTCGTACAGAAGAGCCATATTGGACGGAATCCGATGGGATAGATCTGGACTCACAACATGTACAGGAAGAGCCTGATGAATGTCGTACAATCTGATCTAGTGCCTCGTCCTCATCCGAATCGTCTGAGTAGCCACTAGGAAGGTATCTGGGTCGACGCGACGGGGATCTTCCTCTGGGAGGAGTCCTTGAATTTTGATACTCTCGCTCGGAACTCGAATGGCTTTCTCCTTCCGATTCTGAATCATAATCAGTATAAGAAGTGACTGATGAGCTGTCGTCATCTGAAAAATCATCTTCGGATCCATATCCCCCGTGGCTTCTCATTGCGCGCCGGAGTGTCTGAACTGAATAGGGATTTGTGGCTAGAATTGTATGAGGAGTCTTGGATAGGCTTGATTTTGAAGATTGATTCTCCAAAAGGATTCTTGGGGTATTTGTACAAACTTTTCATTCTAATCTCGACAAGAGAGATATAGACGCATCGCTTGTCCAAGAGTTCTGATCAAAGCCTCGTCAATGTTTCAAATTCGTCAGCAACAAATTCACCCTTTTTTGTCTGAACAGGTAAAGTAGCCTTGAAACCACACACATTAAACTCTAACTAATTTCTTACTGTGGTAGATCTACGTTTTATTGTTTCTTCATTGGTTGTCGATTCTTACTGAGGTTGACTGAAGCGCCGCGCATGGGGGCCGCATCGATGAATCTTACATTTCCACCACGCTTAATACCAAAACTGGCAATTCGATCCGCTTTATGAGGCTCAAACTCTAACTCGCGGTTGTTCTTGTGCTTTATTGCGGTCCCCATCCACCATTCCTCCCAAGTCTGTGTTTTGGGTATTTTTGCACGCTGACTGCAGTTCGGCCGGCGGTCTAGTCTTAACTTTGGTTTGAAAGCTTGTTTGCCTATCAGTAACGGTTCAAATGCCAAAAGCCAATTGCGAATTTGAACTAAATTTTTTGAATAGCGCGAAGTCCGCCAGAAATGTTACAATCTAAATCTAGGATGCACAATTAACATTTTAGCATTTCGCTAATCACAATGATTCGACTAAACGTACAACATCAAGTCGTTTATTCCTACAGAAGCGCTCGTTCTTGAGATCATAATTGAGTGTATCAAGATTAGGTTCTTTGTCTGTCACCCAATACATTCGTCGTAGCTGGTATGCGATCTTGCAATAGATCACTTACATCGTCGGGGTGTGTGAGATCAATCATTCATGGTCCGGAATACTTACAGAGTTTCCTTTTACTAGGGCTTTCCCCGTACAAATATCTCAATCCTCCCTTATTTAGCTTCTCCAAATTATCTTCTCAGACTTCTATTCATTATTGAACGAGCGGGGCTCTTTTTCATTTCGTTTACATAGTCATTTCTTGTTCAATCATGTCAAACCAAACTTCCCTCTCGAACAATACTTTCAGTTCCAACAGTACCTTGTCGATGTCTCAAATTTGCATCATAGATGGTAACTCCGATATTTATGGTCTCGGTATTCGCATCGGTTACTACCTTCAATGGTATGCCTCACTTCTTGCATCTGCTCCCAGAGGTTCTTCAGGAAAAGTTGCTTTGGGCGAAGTTCAAAGCCTCTCGCTTTCCATTTTTCTCTTCAGCTTGGCGACTTTCCTGGCTCTAATCACTCAAACTTCGACGCTAAAACTGGCTGAGGTTTATATCATTCTACTCTTTATAGTAGGCTATCATTATTACTTCATACCTAAGATGTTTATGGCACTACTCAGCTTTATCAAACAGCTTTTCAACAAAGGGGAGAAAGATGAGACAGGACAAAAGAAGCACCGCAGCTGGGAATTTAATTTTCTAGTTGGTTTATTCTTCTGTGCCATTTCTTGTTTTCAACTATGGTTCTGGGGTGGACATTTTCAGGATCGCAAGGGAAAGTCTAACACTTGTCCTAATTTTGGATTTGGATTCATAAGGGTTGATCTTGAGAATATTGCATTTCGTGCTTTCAACATAACATATTGGATTCTGTTGTTAATTTTGTCCTTTGGGATTTTATGGAATTCTTGGAATGTCTATATCCAGAAGGGACAAGCTTCAAAGGATCATTTTAGCTCATCATCTTCAAGGTATGCCGTACCCCTTAGTTTGTTTCAATTTGAATGAACACACTTTCCTAACAATACAGTAGCTTAAAATCCGGCCGCAGCAGTACGAGATCATTGAAAGAGTCAAACTCGATAAGTGATTTCATAGGATTTGGGATTCTTTTCATTTTCACGGCGGTTATGATTTTTGCCATCGAAAAAAGCATAATGTGGAATCAAATTGCTAGAGTGACGACATTAGCTGAAGCCGGACAGTTGATCCCCCTTTTTATTGGACTGGGATCGTTGCTTAGGGTTTGTTATGTTGGAGTGAAAGGTTAATGACCGTCGAGAGGAATTACTATTGTCCGGAAAAGATGATGCATATCTGTGTCGGTGAATGTTTAGTCGGATACTCTTGAATGTACCTAGAGTACGTCCTTGGTGGGAAACTAGAAATGTTATTGCCTTTCCAACTTAGCAGTCTCATCAGAGAGGAATGCTTTCCCAAACTGCTAGGTGTATGATTGTCTTATCTACAAAATGATCGAGTTACTCCTATAAACTTCTCTTCCGTTATTCATTGGAGTCATCCCTCTCCTAGTCTACTCTGATGTCATGGCTCCCTCCTCTCGTAATAGAGCAACGCGGGAATGTTATGATTAGATACCATCTCCTTCGCTCATAAAGACAGCGTCCTTACAATCTAGGAGAATCTATATATTCAATATCAGGTATTTCCGCTACATGATCTATTCATATCCCCCACTATAGATGATACTTGTGGCATATTTACCCCAGAGAGAGATTCAATACTTAACCCTTAAATTTTCCGGTTTGGATCTCCAACGTACCTGTTATTGTGAACTTCACATCGTAGATTTCTGCTCTCCTATCCAACAAAGTCACGTATATCGATCTGGTGCCTCATTAATGCCTACGATGTAATGTGACGTCTGCCTAATCATATCGCTTACATAATCCCCTCCAGATAAAAAGGTCCAAGCTCAAGCTCAAATCAATCTTGGAAGCTTCAAGCTTCTTCAATGGAAATCCCCTTCATTGATAAATTCTCCATACAATCAAATCAGTATTTGCATCCAGACGCTTGTTTTCTCCTCTCAAAGCTTTATTGTGATTTCATAAGAATCTAATATCTTATCTGAAACTTCAACGAAACTTCTCCATATCGCACGCCGCAAAGGAGATATAGCATTAGAAATAAATTCTTTCGACGCCTTGTTTAACAAGAGGTGCAATACCCGCGTTTGGTGAGCTGCAGAAGCTTAGGGAAAGCGACAGGCCACGGATATTGGGGTACTTATTGATATAAATACCTACTCATCTACACTTCGTTTGCTACTATCCTTCGCTCATGATATCAACAGATACAACACTGCAAAGATGTCTTATCGCGTTGGTATGTATTTTCTCTTTCGTTTGCGTCACGATTTCCAGCTTCTTGTCTTCACGTGATGACGCGTTTTGTGCTCAACGGCGAGAAAGGATCATCTTCCTCAATGGATGGATTTGAAGATTGACCACTGACTGTTGTAGAACTCGCAACTACTGCGCGGGCTGGATGTCAAAACAAGGAATGTAAAGATTCTGGTATCAAAATCCAGAAAAATGAGTTGAGACTTGGTACTTGGGTTGAGATTCAAGAACATGGAGGTTGGCAATGGAAACATTGGTATGTTTTTATCTTTTGATTGTATTGGATGAAGTGAAAGTCCATTGAGATGTTCTCATCAAATAACTATGATCTTCAACTCTAACCTGCTCGTACCATCTATTGCTAATACAAAATAAGGGGATGTGTCACTGGAAAACAACTTGAGAATATGAGAAATTATCTTGAAGATGGCAAGGGAGGCTATATGTTTGATAAGATGGATGGTTATAATGATGGTGGAAAGGGTAGTTTAGATGATCATCCCGAAATGCAGGAGAAGGTCAGACGAGTTGTGATGCAAGGATTCATTGATCCTGAAGACTGGAAAGGTGTATGTATTTTTTTTCTTTTTCACTTCATCTCCTTTCTCCTGTTTTCCCGTAACACTCTACACTAGGAGACTCTAACCAAAAGTAGGACCCGGAAATGAACACCCTTGGCCAAACAGGAACTCGTACCTCCGAATCAAAGAGAAAGATCAAGGAGCAAAAGTCTGCTGAAATGGGTGATCTAACCGAGCTCCAAGCTAAATTGGATGAAGCCGAACAGGAAAAGCAGCAACTCATTGATGATGGAAAGGCGAATGGTATGAAAGTCAAGGCTCTCAATAAGAAGATTGCAGAATATGCCAAGGAAATGACTGCTCGTCGAAAGGAAGAGGAGAAACAAAAGGCAGAAATAGAAAGAAATGCAGTAAAGTCAGAGAAGGCCAATACACCAAAGAAGAGAAGTAGAGTGAAGAAAGAAGAGCTTGACGAAGAAGAAGAAGAGGATGAAAAGCCCGCAAAGAAGAGGAGAGGCGGAAAGGTCAAGAAAGAAGAGGAATCTGAGGAAGAAGTTATGCCTGCTAGAAAAGCTCGTGGAAGAAAGGCTGCGGTCAAGAAGGAAGAAGATATTGAAGAAGATGAGGAGGACGTTAAGCCCGCTCCTGTCAAGAAGTCAAGAGGAAAAGCATCCATTGTCAAAAAGGAAGAGAATTCCGAAGACGAGGAAGACACCAAAACAGCCCCTGCCAAGATTTCCAAAGGAAAAGCTCCTGCTATCAAGAAAGAGGATGACATCGAAGATGAGGAAGATACAAAATCCGCCCCATCTAGGAATTCTCGCGCCAAGAAGCCAGTTGTTAAAAAGGAAGTTAAAGAAGAGGATTCCGAAGATGAAGAAGGCACCAAACCAGTCCCTGTCAAGAACTCTCGAGCCAAAAAGCCAGTCGTCAAAAATGAAGTTAAAGAAGAGGATTCCGAGGATGAAGAAGGCACCAAACCAGTTCCTGTCAAGAACTCTCGAGCCAAAAAGCCAGTCGTCAAAAAGGAAGTCAAGGCAGAAGATGATGACGAAAACGAGATCCTAACCAAGACTAAACCAGCCCCAGTCGCGAAGAAAGGTGGAAAGCAGTCAAAGAAAGTTAAGGAGGAAGCCGCATCGGTAACCCCAGAATTGGCTTCTGATAATGATACTTCGAAGGATCAAAAGTTTGAAGCTGAGGACGAAGAGATGAAGGAAGAGGAAGAGGAAGAGGAAGAAGAGGAAGTTAAGCCAATTGTTAAGAAGACCAGAGGGTAAGCTCCCCATCCTTTTTTCTTTTCATTCTTACATTTTTTCGAAATACGTCAGAAATTGACGAATATGTGTGTTTGTGATATTGAGACGTGAAGTAGAAGACCCGCCAGGAAGTCAAGAGCATGATCCACGCACTTTGGATCTACTAGCCACCATTCAACAATATTCAAATGGTATATATAAAACTAGGGGACGTGGTCTCACCGGTAGACAGTTGCGTCTCATGGCTGCGATTCTTAGAGGCGGGGTGTGTCGGCCGGAAAGATATTATATGTAGACTGGTGGTTGGACGATTGAATGGATGAACATGGTGCTATGATTGAATTTGGGGGAATTTTGAGAGATTGGGAGATTTACTTACTTACTTGTGCTGTACTTGCTTACGAAAGAGAGGTTTCTTGCTACAAATATAGATGGAAGGATGGATGGGTCGATATCAAGGTGTGTTTTTCATTGTATGTACATGTACCTACCTACCTATGTATTTCAAGGGAAAGAAATGAAACGAATGAGATTAATGAAAGAAATCAATGGTATGTATGAGATGTGAGATAGGAGATGAGAGATGAGAGATGAGAGATGAGAGATGTGGATTGAGAGGTGTGGGCTGAGAAATATGGGATGTAGAATGTGGGTAGATAGTAGTCAATACATGTATACACAAATACGCACGAATACATCATATTAAACGTAGATATGAAAACAAATATTCGCACAGATCTCCGTTTTCCTTCCCTTTTTCTTTTTCTCTTGACGGGATGGGATGGGATGGAGTACTTGTAACTTTCTGGAAGGGAAGAAAAGAAGAGTGGGAAAAAGAGAGAAGAGACGAGAACCCTGGTAGACGAGAGAAGAGGAGAGGGGGGGGAGTGTGCGATGCATTTCCAAAGTACATAGTGTGAAGCTCACAGTGTAGAGTGTACAGTGTATTAGCTCATAGTGTCGTATCTAATTTTAGTATATATCTCTGGATTAAATTTTAGTTTGAACTTTAGTTTGAAGTTTAGTTCCAAGTTTTCGTTTTGGATTGGTCGAGGTAGAGGTAGAGGTAGAGGTAGATATATGAGTGCATAGATTTAGGTAGGTAGCGTGAAGTCAATAGAATATGTATGATAGGATATGGAATGATATAGGGAGAAACTAGTATAAAAATAGTTGGAAGGTGGTGGGTGCACAGTTGATATGGTATGATAGGATATGATATGATATGATAGGGTATGGTATAGTATGGTATGGTATGAAAACTATGATGATGATGATGGATGAAATATTCATATCATATTTTATGCTATGCTATGCTATGCTTTGATAGAGATTGATATCTAAATACATATACCATATAAATCACGCAGGAAGGAGGCAATCCAGCTACTACTCTATCGGATAGATGAATCGCCACTGAGCTAGCTACTCCATACTCCCCAATCTCCACCCCCCTCAATCACCCCCCAAAACATCCAAACATTCCCACCAATTATTCAAAATGACCATTAACATGATGCGCAACCGCTAATTCATCGCCTTCAAACTCTCCACAAACAGGACATGTACTCATTGCGGATTTGAAGACCTCTCCTGTTAATCTTTCCTCCAATACTTCTTCTTCGGTATTTCTACTGCTTTCTTCTGGCTCCATGATGCTTCCCTCACTAATTTTGTTTTCTCCAGCTGTATTTTTCTTCCCCTTACGATTCCCCTTCACAACAATATAATCCTCTAAACTAGCCCCTGCACTGGTGCTCGCCGCGGAAGATTCATCATACCCATCTGTCCTGAAATCTGAGTACGTTTTACCACCACCACCTCCTCCTTCTCTCCTCGGATGTCCCATCCTCCCACTCACATTATCAAAGTCACCGCCCCCACCTCCACCCACTTCCCCATTCCTCCCCAACCCCCTCATCCCCCTTCCCCCACCTCCGCCTCTCCCTCCGTACACAACCTCTGCACCCTCCCCACCCGCCCGTCCCTCAATCTAACCTTCACCCCCTTGGATGATCCCCCCTCGTCAAAAGCTCCCCCACAAACCCCTTCACTTCCCTCCCACTCCCCTGATCCATTTTCAAAACAATCGATACCGGTGTTCCGGGGTGCAGGAGCGCTATGCGTGGGACTGGAGATAAATTGGTATGAGAGCGTGGCGCTCTATCATTATTGCCACGGCCTCTTCCATAGCCTCTTCCTCTTCCGCGTCCGCGGGTAGCATTTGTTGTGTCCATTTTAGAGAGAAATTATTGACAGCGAAGATGTTGTGGGCTGTATTCTCAAACTTGGTGTAGTCCGATCGTCTGGAAAGATGAATAGATGGATTGAAAATAAACAGTCTCTAACTAACTGGGACCTCCTTTCTTATCTTATTCTCTCGCTTCGTCTTCTTCCCTCCAATTTGATTTGCAAATCTCGAGGCAAGAAAAAATTCTAAATAGATGGTTTTTATGTCCGTTTATCTTTTGGGACCGGTGGCGGTTAAGATACAATCTGTAACACTGTGAAATATCCAATATGATTGTATTGGAATTCTCCAGCCTATCATGCTTGTTCGATGCAAATGGAAGGCCGAGGCGTTGAGATGCAAATTATGACGTCGTGACCAGACAAACACGTGAGTCGCAATCATGTGATTTAAATAAAATTGTTTGAGATCTCATGGAACTTGGAAGTTTGCAGATAATTTAGATTCTATCTGAATGAAGCAAGATTGAACGTAGTGAGAAACCACTACTAATATATATGTGTTCTCGTCTGGGAATTCTAGGTGATATCTGTATAAAAGAAACCCAAACTTCTAGATCCACCAGTGCGTGTGCGGATTGACAGGACACTTCCCAACTTGCAAATTTTTTAACAAATTCATTTTTTAATTGTTTGATATCAGAATAGATATTGTAATTGTTCTATTTATAGTGAATAATTATAGAAATTCCTAAGATACAAGAATTGATATATCAACAGGTATTCACATATTCATTTTTGCAGTATCCCGTTAGTCCGTACACTCACCGGTGATCCTACAGTTCATAATCATCTCTCATCAAATTTTAACCACACTTCATAAAGCTCAAAGATCCAGCAAGGCTAAGCCCACTTCTCAGTAAGCAAACCTCCTCATTCCCTCCCCAACTCTCTTGTTTCTCCTCCCGTAATAAAACCTCAATCCCACACATCCTACACATACAAAATACAACAAACCAGCATTCACCCAATGGCCCAACGGGAAGCCCTCTTTCGCTTGATTTGACTTGTATATCCAAACACCTGCTATTTGTCCCGGCGCTCCTACTGATATATTCAACGCAATAGCAAGTCCAATACCGGCTGTTGAGAAGATATTTGACGAGAGGAAACCGAGAAGAGGAGGGATACAGGAGAAGGCTCCTGAGGCGGCGATAATGAGACAACCATAACGGGAGTTATAGGAAGTAGGAGGCAGGAGAGCGGAGGCGGTGAAACCGATGGCGCCAACGAGGGCCATTATTGAGGAATGGAGGGCGCGACTGAGGAAGATTAGATGATTGGGGAAAGAGAAGAAGGGAATTCAGCTTACGCGTTGAAGTGATCGGCAGACCAGGATACGAGGATTGTTACAACATCTTTCAAGGGTTAAGACTGATCAATTAGGGGGAGAAAGTAAACGTACAAGCGACAGCATATGGTGGGACTGTCATAAGTTGAGCCTCGAGGTTTTTGTATCCAAGTCCTGCGGTAATACTTGGTGTGAATAAGGACAAACTCGAGAAAGGCGTTGAAATACCGAAATAGATCTTGAAATTTGGGTCAGCGTGTCGTGGAACATTGTGATGATATTTAATACTCACTGCATAATGAGCATATAATCTCCAGGTACAAAGAATTTCCTTCGCTTCTTGCCACGTCAATCCTTTATCGCCTCCTTTAGCTCCCTCTGTCGCAAGTCTACTTGTAGCTAAATCTTTCTCATCCTTTGATAGCCATTCTACCGTTTCTGGATAATCTGGTAGATAGAAAAATACAAGAATAGATGATAAACAAGAAGGAATCCCTTCAATAACGAATAACCATCTCCAAGCTGACATTCCGTGGGTACCATTCATATGACCGACTCCAAAAGCGATAGCGCCACCAAATGCTCCTGCGAGAGTTGCGGAGGCTAGAATGAATGCGACACGAATTGAACGCTCAGATGTACGGTACCAGAAAGTCAGATAGTAGACTAAACCTGGGAACAGTCCTATTGCGATGTTAATGACTGCCGGAGAAAAAAGGTTTGAAAGTATGTACCAGCTTCGAACATTCCGAGAAGGAATCTCACAGCTGTGACACCAGCGAAGTTGTGAGTAAATCCAAGTCCAATTGTCACGATACCCCACGAGAACATTAAGAAAGATATCCATTTGCTTGGACTGAGTTTCTTGAGGAAATAATTGGATGGCACTTCGAAAATTGCATAGGCAATCAAAAAGACCATCAACGCGATACTGGAATGGGTTAGGAATCACCAAATCCAGGAACAAGGTCCACACATACATATATTGAAAATTAGTCATGTGTGTATCGGACAGGAGATCATCATGAGTAGAGGAATTGAGCGTTTTAGCATTGCCTATTTCCTATCAGCTCTATACACACGACGTGAGGCCGACAAGAAGTGGAACTGACCAATGTTCGAACGATCGAGGTAACATAACAAGTAAATACCAGCACATAGAGGTACGATCCTTAGATCTTGCTTCCGAACCAATGCTTTGGTATCTGCAACATTTTCTTCCACCGTAACATAGTCTGCTTCCTCAACTCTCTGCGACACGTTGTTAGATCGTTGATGGAACGAAACGCGGGGATATTTTCAACTTGCCTCCTTTCCTCCTTCGAAATCGGATACGACGACCATGATAGAAGAGCGCTAAAGTAAATCAAGCAACGCAGCAAATTATGTACGCGGAAGAACACAGTAGGGCAATATATACATGGCAAGAAGAATCAGAAAGAGAAATAATGAATACTACACCGCTCGAAAGTAATTTCGCATTCAATGAAATCAATCAAGCCCTGTGAATCTCCACGCGACATAACAAGAGTGGAGTGAATGGAGCGGGGATCGCGCGGCCTACGATTATTGGCACAAGCGCTGATCAGGTCTGGGGTAAAACCAAAGGAGGACTAGCGTAGAAATCATGTATGATATCTCTTAGCCTTGCATGAACTGTGGCTGAGTAGAGAAAACAATCAAATGTTTGACATAAGCCTTGTCCTATCACATTGTGAACAAAACCATAGTCAATACAGACATGGAGACACTTGTTTGAGTTATTGAATGTCATGAAAAGATGGATGATTGATTCTTGACTTCATTTTATTTGCCTTAACTACTCGAGACTTTAGAGGAGAATTCTAGTTCCAAAAGAGATGGCTAGTCAAGACAGCCCTCTCTCTATAACATCTAGCGTCGCAGGAATACTGACCTTTGTGGTCGCTATTGCTGCAGCAATATACGTCCGATTCACCTACTTACGCAATGCTGATAACGAATACTTCCAAGTGAAGGCGTCTCTTTCGTGGCATAAAACTGAATCACAATGGCTTCATGATTTAGTTTATGCATCTGATGGTCCAAAAGATCGTTTTGGACATGAAAAGGAATACCAGATGTATGTCTCCGTGATGGAGGAACTTGGAAAACTTGAGGAGAGATTACTAGAATTGGTGACAGAAGCCGAATTGAAGGCCAGTACCGAGGATGATCAAGGAAAGAAATGGGCCTTGGTACCGAAAAGTATGGCGTTTAGAACGAGCGTAGCCATGTCGTGGCTACCTGTCAGGAGGAAAGCTTTGGAATTAGTTAGGCAAAGAGATGCATTAGGAGCTAGAGTTTTATTTGCACAGATGAGTATGATGTCATCGTAAGTAGGATACCCCATAAATTAGGGGCTCGAAACTGACTAAATTAGACGAGTTCGGGACCAAGAATCACAAGCAAAGAAGCAAAAGGAATTAGACCAGGAAAGACTTGACCGACTGGAAAGTACAGTTCATTCTCAACACGAGAAGCTAGATCGACTAGAGTCTTTAGTATACCGATGGATGCATCGTGATCGAATTGAATCTGAGAGCATTCGACGTTGGGGAGCTCAAAGAAATGATACTTTTGGAACCGACGATTCCCAGTCTGAAACTCCAGTGGCGACTGGAACCACCACCCCATTACCAAAATCAGAAACCTACGACCTTGAACATTTTCGAAAACCAGAATTGACGGCTGTCTAGCAGAGAGCTTGGGTATACCAGTAAATTTAGTCGAGGAAACATAACTACTCATTTTCTCGCTTCTGTTTGATGAACTTGGACCGCTAGCTGCTCTCTCGACTGCTTCTCTCTCCATTCGGCTCACCTCAGCACCTTAGTATCTGCACCTGCAAAGGGTGCACGCCTTTGTCCAGTTAATTTGGTACACCTTGTAATTGGCGTTGGATGAAGAGCACCTGGAAGAGCACCTGCCAGAACACAATCCGTAGTTGGCGCTGGCGAGGGGTGAATGGGCTTCAGATGGAACCTCCTTCCTCCAGCACAGGCCCTCTCCTAAACACTGCCCAAAATCTCATTCCTTGACGACTAAAGGAATGCATACCCCTTGACCTTCAGATATATAGCGCAAAATGCAACACTAGGTACTGCCCATAAAATGTTCAACTCAATCACCGCCCAAATCCAGATAGTCCCTACTGGTGGAGCCTGTTTCATTGTGGCAAAATGACCATATTCATTTGTAATGTGTATAAGATAACATCCAGCTATTATACTAGCAGCGGAGAAAAAGATTTCGTGTACATAAGGATGCGCCTTGGCAGGTATTTGAGGTAATAAATTCGACGGTTCGGGATGTGGATGGAAGGCATAAAAGAGAAGCCAGATGACTGTTGAAATCAGCAAATATTCTGTTACGTCCAAATATAATGTAAGACTTACCAGGACATGCTTGGAGGGTCCTAGAAACGACACCCTTCCAGACGATTTCTTCGGCATATTGATGTGTAACCAATACATCTAGAGTGAAATGTAACATCGTAAGACTGATCGTCCATAGAACGGAATCCCCTAGTCTTCCTATTAAGATCTCCTCATCTTCTCCATCTAATTCTGCTTGACGCTGTCGTTGAGCTTCACTCAAATTTCGTTTTTCTGCGATGTCGAGAAGAGTCTCGATGGATGGATCAGGGCCAGATCTATCTGGCTTTTTGAGCTTAAATTTCCGTTCTTTGCCTGGCATGATGTTTGCTATCTCGGAATGTGGAATTGTATAGGGCGGAGCGTCTCGCGGCTTTTAAAAAGAGTATATATACTTGCGGATTCCCTGCGAGCCTTGTCGTTCGAAGGTAGTGGAAAATAGATGCAAGTACCTAAATACGTGTACTGAGTGACCAAGGCTGCCGATTTTCAACACATAAGACGAAAGGCTGTCGAATACTTGGTTAGGTCGTGTTCATGCAAGAGCGATGAATTTCATCTCATACATATTTAAACCATGTAGATTTGTATGACATTGGTCAATAATTGATCCGATGCCTTGCAGTGAACCTCGATTTATCCCTTAGCGCAAGGCTTAAGGACCCATATATTTCTTGACCGACAAACCGGTCATTTCCACTCGTTTCTACTCACGAACCCCTCTCAAATCCTAAACATACTCGATCTGCAATTATTCGCGCATATCTACACCATTTTATACTTGTCGTCGCTGCATTTCAACATATACTTCGACTCTTTAACAAAGGTTCCCCCATAAACACCTTTGAAATGCCCAAAATGCAATGGACCTATTTCCTTACCATCCCCATCATCACTTTCGCTGCATGGCAATATAGTGTCACAGTTGTTAACTCCAAATTTCCAAAACTTCGTAACAAGAAGATATGTCTATTGATCGCGCATCCTGATGATGAAGCTATGTTTTTTGCGCCGGCAATGCAAGCTCTCACGGATCCGGAACTTGGAAATCATGTTAAAATTCTCTGTTTGAGTAGTGGTATGTAAGGTGCATGATATCGAGTTAAGCATATATTGATGTGCAGTAGGTGATGCAGATGGATTAGGAGAAACTCGGAAGAAGGAACTTGTTAAGAGTGGGATGCAGTTGGGTTTGCGACAAGAGAATGATGTTTTCGTCTTCACGAGTCCGTATGTCTTCCTCGAATCTTGTCGCATAAGTACTATTTATACTGATCGCGTTTCTTAAACAGAGATTTCCCGGATAGTATGACGAAGATTTGGGATAAAGAAAAGATCGCCAACCTTTTAGCATCTGCCTTTTGCCCTCCTCACACCAGAAAAACAGATCTTACAACTGCTCCAAGTGCATCTATCGATGTTATTGTAACTTTTGATGCGCAGGGAATTTCTTCGCACCCAAATCATATTTCCTTGTACCACGGCTCTCGAGCCTTGATCGCATCCATGATGCGGGATCGTCCAGGATGGCAATGTCCTATTGACCTTTATACACTTACCAGTGTCTCAATTCTCCGAAAGTACACATCTATTTTCGATACCTTGAATACTATGGCAGTCGCAGCGTTTTCGAAGCGAGAGATAGGCGATCATCCAAGTCCTTTGTTAATGATGAGTGGGGTGGGTCAACTTAGAACTGCGCAAAAGGCCATGACAACAGCACACAAGAGTCAGATGAGGTGGTTCAGATGGGGTTGGATTGGAATGTCAAGATATATGGTCATCAATGATTTAAAGCTGGAAAAGGTCGTTGTGTAGATGCGCGTTTGAAAGGTACGGGTTAGGGCTATGAGAAGGAGAAGAGGACTCTATTGTGCAGTGCACAGTACGAATGACTTTTGATAAAAATATCTCTTGCGCATAAGAGAGTATGAATGGATGAGAGATGAGTAATGCGTATACGAAGTCAGCATGCTTCTTTTGATCTCGTTTTGTATTGTTTGTTATTTTTTTGTTCTCTTCCGCAAGATGCCTACAGACCGGGCTGGAAAGCTATCAGCCTTTCATCAAACTTGCTTGTTGTATTTAGACAGATATTTCTCTACCTCAGGATACCTCAATATTATGAGCCATGATTCATTTTATTTCAATGTTCCTTGTTCATTGAATTTAGTCACAAAGTTGATGTCCAAACAACTAAATGTGATTCCGTCTTCGTTCTTCGTCACGAAATTAGAAGATTTCAACATCTGGTGTCCATCACGATTCAGAGACCGGATTGATTTCTGATACTGCTCATTGTACAGTCTCAAGTCTTACCTACCTCAACTATCATCACTAGTACCAGTTGTCTGCTTATAAAATCAACGCCGAACTGGTGCAATGTATAAAAAAGGCAAAGAAGTAATTTTCGCATCGAATCAACGCAATATGGTTCCGGAAAACAGTGGAGAGATGGTAAGAATTCATTTCCTTTCGCGCTACTTTTACAAGCCTCAAATCAAAGTTCAATATGAAACTAGACTTTCATGATTTGAGGTCTACTTTCTCATATCAATCTAGATGTAAATGGGAACTTCGCGCCAAACTCCTCTGTTTTGAGAATATCGGTGGATTGAAGTTTAATTCTCATTCACATTAGTATAGGGTTTTTCTGATTACTTATTTTCTCCATCTAGTCTCGTAAACCTCCATTGACGCCGCAGTCGACAAATCGGCTGATGACAAAATCAAGGCTAGACTCAGAGTCAAAATCGAATATAATATCATCCACCTCGCTATCTCAACCTTCCAAGCGGAACACGAACCTGAAGCGTACACGAGATCAACATCAACATCAACATCAACAGCGACATGTGAGTGGGCAGGAAGAAGAAGAAATAGACCAAGAATGGGATATCATCGGTACCCTTACATTCGAAAATGCACGGCTGGAGGAGAAGATTATGGGGTTGGAAGAGAGGGTGCGGGAGTTGAAGATGCAGAGGGAAAGTGATGTGAGAATGCTTTTGTGGATGAGGGTGGAGATGGCGAGGTTTGGGGAGTGGTGGAGATGGGTTGAGAGGGGGAGGGGAGAGGGAATACAGGAAAATGAGGGATGTTAGAGGGTATGAATAGGGAATAGAAGGCTCGGGATTTTTGGGACAGGAAGGATTTCTCGATATCACTAATGATAGTAGATTGCATAAAAAGAAGCTTCTGAGATCTAACTTTGTGGACTTGTATTCATCTAGCTTCCCTTTATTTCTTAATGTTTTGCTCATGTAAATCAATGTCCTCACGTGAACTCTCCAGCGCTACAATCCCCCTGAATTTCTCTCCCTCCACCTCACAAATCCTCCCTAACAAAACTCGCAACCCAAACTCCCATCGCCTCCACTCCCTTCACACCCCCCTCTACATTCCCCAAACTCGCATCCAGAACATCATACATCATCTCCAACACATTCCGCCTCTTCCCCTCCCTATCCTCCTTCCCCTTAAGCTCCTCCACCCTCCTCAACTCCCCCTTCTTCCACCTCCCCACATTCCCCACCTCCCACACCCCATCTTCCAGTCCCCGTCCATCCTTCACCATCTCTCTCTTAACCCTCCACCCTTCCTCCCCCATAACTTTCCGCATCTGCGTCGCACTGCGCACACATCTTACATTTCCGCCACCTTCTTCTCCTTCGTTTTTGAAGCCTTCTGAAACGGCTTGAAGCATGATTGCGAGGAGGTGGGGGAATTGAGTGGGGAGGGGGCGCTGAGATCCCATTCTGCGATGCAGAGTTGAGTTTGTTTTGTGAGGAGATTGGGGGTGGGATTTGAGGTTTGGGGGGATGATAATGATAGGGAGGAGATGTAGGAGATTAGCTGGGGGAAGAGGGAGGGAGATGAGAAGTAGAAAGTGCTGTGGGAGAGAATGACATGGGAGTATGCTTTTGAGTCTTGGGTTGTGGATGAGGAGGAATTGTGGGAAGAAAGAAGTGATTCGAGAAAGGGAATTGGAAATGCGTTGTGGAATGTGAAGCGGCGGCCTAGTGGGCCGGATTTTAGATGAGACTGGGCTTGGGAGAGGGTCCATGGTGAGCCTATTCTTTGTTAGTTCCTCGATTGGTGAGAAACTAATTTCATTTTCTCTCGACATTCGACGTCTGGGTAGGAAAGACAATATTGGAGCGGGGAGTGAGGAAGGACAATAATAAGTAGCAAAGAAAGGGCATATCAATACCATAATCAGGATCCCCCGGATCAACAGCATCAACATGCCCATTTTTCCCAACTTGTGCAGCAAGTACTAATGTAGTATCGCCCTGACCACAGCCTATTTCGAGGACTTTTGATCCTGGTGGGATGGACCAGAAATTCACCTAGTTTTATGTCAATGAGATGTTGCCACCCTGTGCTCTTCATCTTGTAAATGTTTGATGGAGAGGGGACAAAAGTCCATGTGAGATAGGAGAATGGTGGATTGAGGAGGAAGAGAGAGAGCAGGTAGAAGTAGGGAAAACACAAACAAGTTCAACACGATGCCTAATTTGTGCAAGCAGCGTTTCATTTCTTTTCTCATCATGTTCGGTAGGTGAACCGCTTGTCTCGGGAAAGTAGGTGTCGAGTATTTCTTGAGGAATGATGGTTTCCGCCATGATATATAATGTTCAAGAAATCAGACTAATGTGTTGAGATGTAGAAAAGAATCGTTACAGGAGATTTAAGGAAGATTTGTGAGAATGGCGAGTATTTTGATTGTAATAAGTGATCAAGACAATGATTGAGAGAAGATAAAAATACTTGTCTGGGGAAGCTGGAAAGTTTGAGTCATACACTAGTGTGACCATGACCCCCATTCATGCATCGTGGATTCTAATCACATCACCTGCATATAGGGATATAGGGCTGCTTATTGTGGCACAAATTTGTGAGTTCTCTCATCTGGCAACTCTGTTTTTCGTATTGAAAATGAATTGGAAGATGGATCTGGCCCGCGAGTGTGTCCAAAGTGATGAAACTAGATGAAACGAGATGAATTTATAGAGTATTGTGGTAACCTATTTAATTTTTGAATCTATGGTCCTGCACGACTTTGGCTGCTAATTGAACTGGCCCACCAACGGCCTGTCTATCCCGATTGTATCGGTATTCATTTTTTCTATTGAGAAGTCTCGCCAAAGACTTTCTTTGTCGTCTCTTCTTTGACCTGGTATCTCCATAAACCCTTCTCCATATCCTCAATTTTGTATCTTCAGATTTTCCAGTATCTAAACGTATATGACCTGTATATGTTTGATAAGTCAACTCTCCCCGCAAAAATGTTTTATAGTTGTTGACTATGTCTGGAACCTTCTGAAATGCCCAGTTTGCGTGGTCTTTAGACAAGTATTCAGCTGGCCGATAGATGAGATAATTGACCCATTGTCGCATATACATCCTGCTAACCCTCAATTTGAAACGGTAAAATGTGAAGTCTCTTTGCCGAATTTGTGTTATTGCCGAGTCTGGCTTTCTTCGTTTCAAACTACTTTCGTATAGGATCCTGTACCGATCTACTATTTTGGCCAATCTATTGTGTAGTTGACGAGCCCTTGCGATCTGAATTTGGGCAGTTCCAATTTGTCGGTTATAGAGAAGGTGGCGAATGTAGATGTTGTACATTGAAAGATTGGGTTCGACGTTATAATGCAGAATCATATTGTTCCAAACTTCGTTCATGCTAGACGAGGGCAACACTCCTTCGTCAAATCCCAACTCGCGTTGAGCGGCACTTCCCCGTCTTCTAGCAAAAACTGCAGTCCATTCCAATAAGTCTTGCCAAGCCCGCTTCGGAATATCAATGGAGTACTTTCGTGATACTTGATCCATTACATGTATAGCCATTGGTAAATCGTTATTGATACAAAACATATGGATTATCGTACGAAGTAATCTTCTTGATGGATACAATGGAGAGTCGGGAAGACGTGTATTGAGCTTCGAATTCTCACCGTTCTTCAATTCGATATCAATGCTCCACACTCGCTTGAGAATTGTTTTAGCAGTCTCAAGGTCTCCCTCTCTACTTGCCGATATCATCAACAAGCAAAATGTCTCCTCATTCCCCATCAGACCCGCCTTTCCCATTTCTTGAAATAATTTATTGACCGAAAGTCTGACTCCATTGTTAGATCCGATTCGGTGTCTATTGAGTTGATAAGGTCTGTTGTCCCATTGACGGAGATCCTTATGGTGAGACACGACTCTTAGTCTTTCAGAATGGTAAGGGCTAAGAACATCCGACCAACACATAGTAGCCATGTAATAATTGAAACATTCCACATCTGGTAGAATCTTTCTATTTTCCATCACTTGAAATTGATTGGAAATCAAAGACTTCCATGTCAATTCTGCAACTTCCTGATGTCCCGTAAACTTTGCAGCTTTGAGGAGCATTTTGTATTCGGACAGATGGATTGGATACTTTATTTGTCGTTTCATAATGATTCGACGCAAATGCCAAAGATAGACAGTGTAGGCACGATGAGTTCCGTCATAGTCAACAGTATCCGTTCTCATTTCCAATAAATCTTTATGCTTGAAGTCTTGTAACAATGCCTTGTATCGTCCGAAAAAATGTTTGGGATCTAGTAGTCTAAGGATTTCGGAAAATGTATTTGGAGGAATATCCAACAATGGAGAATAATTCACGCCAAAATTATCCACTTTTGAAAGTTTTACTAGGACTTTGAGAAGTTCATGAGGATCTCGAAATTGAAGTGCTCTGAGCACACTCTTGTATTCAGAAACCATTTTAGCTTCTTTGAGGAGGATTCTTCGTTGAGCTTGATTAACGGGCAATCCCACACCAACTTTTCGAATGACAGAAACCAGATCAGACCCATCGGATACTTCATCTTGTTCTCCGGGAGTCGGAATTTCAAGTGGGTATATATCTCCGTATGCTTCTTGACTTTGAGATTTTTCGGTTGCATGCTTTCCAACCCACCAATCCTTTAAATTTTCTTCTTTACTCCAAGGTGGCTTCATCCATTCCGGTGTCTTGAAGAACGTCTTCACATTTCGATGTTTATTCCTTATCTCGTATCGTCTCCAATATGCTTGTTTTGCTGCCTGCGATCCATCGTTGATGATCTCATCTCCTTCCTCGAATTGCTCGAGATTCGTTGCCTCTTCATTTCCACTTTCTTTTCGCACAAAAGTACTGGGGCTATTTCTTGGTCCTGTGGATTTGTATAACCATCTTCTCCCATTGTATTTTCTATCGGACTTCGTAGAGGGTGGCATATGAAGAGATGTAGCGATTGTGGACTTGCGCGTCGCAAAACCGCGCAAGAAAGGCCCCATTAGATGTGATTTTGAAAATCATCATTCTCCCACCCTTTCTATTCTCTTCTCGCATTGACCATGTAATTGATGAGATCAAATGAATTGTAATCTGGGGAAACCTGGGGAAAGTTGAATGGGTCCACTTGGTGTTGTTAATGGCGGGAAGTTAAAAAGTGGTGGTTTGAAAGTGGTGGGTTTGGTGGATTTCGCTTGATTATCTGAAATTTTTAGTGAGCGCGGCAAATCCCGCCGTCTATAGCAACAACCTCTATGCGATTCAGAGGTAAATTCGATACGTCAATTCTGGAGACCATTCACAACAACAAAAGTTCGTCGGCATAAAACGAAATAAACATGGCAGATATTGATGATGGTACATCTGCACCAGCGGAGCCTCTTGATTTGGTGCGACTTTGTCTCGACGAGGTTGTTTATGTGAAATTGAGGGGAGACAGAGAATTGAAAGGAAGGCTACATGTGGGATATACCCCTGCAAGACTTTGTGGTTCTTGTGCTGACAATGGGTAGGCTTATGATAGTCATTGCAATTTAGTATTGGGGGATGTGGTAGAGACAATTTATGTTGTGGAGGAGAGCGAAGAAGATGATGGAGAGGAGATCGTGAAGGTTGGTCTGTATCCTACTTGACATATGCTTTCGGCTAACATGTTTTCGCAGACGGTTGTCAAGAAATCTGAGATGTTATTTGTTAGAGGTAAGTCTTTTTGGTCTCTCATTTGGTCTTCATTGTATCTGACATTCTTTCAATAGGCGACAGTGTTATACTTATCTCACCCAGGTCTTCATAAAATCAGACACCGACATGCCGTTACGCAACAAAAACGAGAAATCTTTCTAGGAAAGAGAGACCACGAAGGTTGGAGGTTGAGAGAACGATACGGCAGGCAAAAAGGGGCAAATTCCACCACGATCTGGCCGCAAATACCAAAATTCGAGGACCACAAAGGCCGGGAAGGATAGATAGGCGCGAGACGGAAGAACAAATAATATATGTAACCATTCCAGCCAAAATTCCCGGATTCAGACAGACGTGAGATTGTGTAGTGCCGTGGGTACTCGATTGACATCTGGCGTATACTAGCATGCCCGCGATTGTTTGGCTGCTCTGACTTTTACAGAGCTCCTGGTTTGAATGTTTTGGAAGGTATGGAATGCTGTGAGTTGTTACACCTGGGTCCATAGTGTCAATGCATAGTTGCATTAATTCTCACAAATTGTTTCTATTTGAGAATACATGAATGAGATATACCTTGACGCGCTTGGTCTCGATCAAATTCAGTTGTGCAGCAGAATTGCTCCGACTCTTTGTTTCCTTGTCATTCATTCGCAGATGTTCATTGTAAGCAGGTTCGTCAAGGAGAAAGCCATAAGCGACCAGGCATAGACATATCCCTAAACTATTTCGAAGGAGGGACTAGAGCTGAAATTATAGCTCGTGGTTGATTCTACTACACACTACCCCAAAGTGTAATTACCATGAGCTTTATGTAAGAATGCTTTTTCAATGATGAAGTTTCCTCTGAAGCTTGGAATGGAAATCTAGATCTATGTGCTGTCACATTCTTGCTAAAATCTCAACATGTTACTTTTTCCATTCTATACTAAACTTCTGGTTGACATGGGCATGAAGAGCTATTGTGGGGTTCAGGGGTTCTTGAGCCTCATGCGTCACTTGTACTGTGTCCAGCGTGTAAGGTTGTATGTACAGATGAAATTGGCGATATCCCGCAACAATTGTAGATTCTAATTTGCAGGTGTAATTACATTTTGCGAGTTAAGTTAGATAATATGATCATTTATATCTTTCAGTCAGAAAAGATGGAGGAACTCAGCCTCAAGGCAATGACTCGAAGATCTATGATTCATTTATCCCAAGATCCTTATCGATAAAGCTTCACTTGGACTTTACACACCGAACAGTCATCTCCCACTGTATACTTAAGAACTACTGGTTTCCATGGATAACTCTTTTGTATTCAATTCACTATTATTCCAGATTGTCTTATATTACCTAGGTACCTACTTCAAAGCTGTCTTTAATGATCCTACGAATATACTGCGAGTAAACTAAGTTATTGCCACAACACAAATTTGGGAAGCAGGCGAACGGAAACATGACTTCAAAAGGCAAACAGCTTCCACATGAGCGGCGGAAAGGGGAAACTGTATTAATGCCCTTTGGCAGACTTTATTTCATATTCCTAACAGACAATAGGCCCTGAGCGAGTTTGCGGAATACGTCGAAAAGCAACAAGCACTTCGATATCCCTCGTATTCCACTTCCAGTTCAACAACAGGTGGTCCCTCAACCACCGCAACATCAGTCACTACCGTAGAAGATCACGCCGAGCTTACAGATATCTTAAACTCCCTCGATATAGCAGATACCAGTCCTCAAGTACGAATAAAAGAATTGCTGCTGTCGACCGACGAAGACCAATTAACGCTCCTCAAAAATGTTCTGGAGTTGCGATTGGAGGAGGGGCATGGAGAGACTATTTTTGAGATTGGATTCGAGAACAATGGTGATGCAATGGGATTCAATAAGGAGGAATGGGATGTTGCCTTGAAAAGACTAAAGGAAGCGGCAGGGAAATTGAACAGTGATTGTCAATTACTGTTAACGAATGGAGTGGGTGGCGAGGTCGAGGGTGAAACTGGAAAGTCAAAAGAGAAAGATTGTACAGGGAAAGTTTTGGTACGACAACATCCTATGAGTGTGGAGGAAGTCATCGAGACAAGAATTGCTGTGGTGGGAAACGTCGACGCGGGGAAAAGTACCATGCTGGGTGTATTGGTCAAAGGTGGATTAGATGATGGAAGAGGAAAAGCAAGAGTCAATCTCTTTCGCCACAAGCACGAAATAGAGAGTGGAAGAACTAGTTCTGTTGGTATGGAGATTATGGGGTTTGATACTATGGGCAAAGTTGTCGCATCTGACGTTCCAGGTAGAAAGCTATCATGGGAAGAAATTGGAAAACGATCCGCAAAAGTTATCTCCTTTACCGATTTGGCTGGGCATGAACGGTATCTACGAACTACCGTCTTTGGACTTTTATCCTCGTCTCCAAATTACTGTCTGCTGATGGTCGCCGCAAATAATGGACTCATTGGTATGAGTAAAGAACATCTTGGTATCGCTCTTGCGTTGAATGTACCAGTTATGGTTGTCATTACTAAAATCGACATTTGTCCTCCTCAGATTCTGGAGCAAACTATCAAGCAAATTACCGGCATATTAAAAAGTCCTGGAGCCAGGAAAATTCCAACCTTCATCAAGAATCGAGAAGAATGTATTAATACTGCCACTCAATTCGTCAGCAAGCGAATTTGTCCAATTTTCCAAGTATCCAATGTTACTGGAGAATCTTTAGATCTGGTTCAAGCTTTCCTCAATATTCTACCTCATCACGGTCACTATGATGCCGAGGCACCTTTCGAATTTCATATTAATGATACTTTCTCCGTTCCATTCGTAGGAACTGTAGTATCAGGGATTGTAAAGTCTGGCGTTGTCCACGCAGGTGACACTGTACTCGTTGGACCTGACTCTCTTGGCCAATTCACAACTACAACCATTCGTTCTATCGAACGTAAACGAATACCAGTTCCGGCTACATCTGCTGGTCAATCAGCTTCGTTCGCATTAAAACGTGTTCGAAGAAGAGATGTTAGGAAAGGAATGGTTGTTCTTCCAAAACTCGAACAGAATGCCCCTAAAGTCTACCGAGAATTTGTCGCTGAAGTTTTGATTCTTTCTCATGCCACTACTATCAAAACAAAATATCAGGCCATGTTACATGTTGGTCCTGTTAGTCAAACGTGCGCTATTATTGATATTGATCGAAGCTATATTCGAACTGGTGATAGAGCAACAGTCGCATTCCGATTTGTGCAAAGACCGGAATACTTGGCTCCGGGGGACAAGCTGTTGTTCAGGGAGGGGAGAACGAAAGGTTTGGGGATTGTGAAGAGTGTGGGCTATGATCCTGCAAAACCGCTGGGAGGCGTTAAGCCTGAAGGCGATGGCACAGAAGCTGCAGAGACGAATACTCCTGCTGAGACTTCAAAAGCTCCTTGATGGGTTTGGGGAGCCGGGAAGACTACATATTAATGTTTCATGTTTCATTGTATCATGGGGATAGCATCATAGTCATGGGAAAGGCAGAAGGTGGTGTACATGGAGATGGGGTGGGTAGAGTCATTGATTGTTTATCACGGGATTATGAAATGAGATTACGAGTTAATGCATACTTTTCATTATACAAGTAAAATCTAAAACTAGAGTTCGGGATATAGATAGTGACAGAATCAGAGCTACTGATCCGTACAATCTCAGGGTTGAGGGTCCTCTAGATCTGTCAATCTCAAAGATCCTGAACATCTAGATCGAAGCTATCTAGGGAATTTCCAAGCATCTAGAATCGAACACCTCATCTAAACTAAATAAAGTAAATTAACCACCCCCAGTTTGTTGGAAATGAGGTATCCAGTAAGCCACAATCACACCCAACCAACTTGCCTCTTTGCACACTGGCCTCTTCATCTGCACCACAACACGTGATATGACGTCGATAAAAATCCGGGGTACATAAGTGGACTTATGAGCGTCATCAATGAAGTTTCCCGATATCAAGGTCTGGAAGCACAGGATTTGCATCTTGTGAAATCTGGGATCCATATTCTTTGATCTTGATTTGATTGGTCTATCTGCTGCGATTGATGCGTTTTACCATTTGTTTATATGGAAAATGGTTTTGGTGGCTGGTCATTAGAGTGGGATTTTCTAGAAAGCAGGTATGTGGTGGGTAAGAAAGGAAGAACAAGGCGCATTTCTTTGTCTAACATAGATTTGTCCAATGGCGTGCTGAGAGGCATTGGGGTTATGGGCACTACGTCAGTTTGTGGGCTGTGGGCTGCGGGAGATACCTGTACCTAGGTAGTGGGTGGGTGGAACAATGGAATGGCATTGGACATGTGCTGAGGGTAGGGGTCAATGGGGTGGTTTTGGAAGATGCGGATTGGATGTGGATGGGCTTGGAGGGGTGCGAGGGGTGAATTTGGATAAAGGGTGGGAATTGGGAAGGATCTTTTTCTTGTTTCTGGATTGCATTCTGTTTTGTTATATGAGGGAACGCATACCTACCTACCTTGATATTGAAAAGATTAGTTTTACTTCGCTTTGCTTGTTTGTCTCTTTTGATACAAATATACTTACAGATACATACCACGAATCAAACAAATAAAACAATCGAAATTCTACACAAGATCAAACCCCAAACAACGCAAATATGGAAACAGTAAATAACATCGCGGCCGCCGCATCAAAGGTTATCTGGGGCGAGCCTCAAGAAACGACTGATGCGGCAAACGCAACGATTGTACCGGAGACGAAGGGAACAGAACCGATTAGTGGGGAGTTAGGTGATACGAAGAAGGGGGAACCGTATGATTTGGGGAATGCGGGTATGTTTTTATTGGTTTTTTTATTGGTTCTTAGAGGTGGATAGAGATGAGAATGAGATGAGATGAAGACATATGAGAAGGGAAGATGCGAGACGATAGAATCAACGATAACAATAAACAAATAAATCACTCCACTAACCCACCACCAGATTCCACAAGCACACAAAACACCCTCTCCTCCACCACCGACGGCACCGCTTCCACTTTCACTCCCACCGACTCCACGACCCTCTCTCCCCCCGGCCTCGCCGCCAAACCTCTCGATTCCTCCTCCACCGTCTCTCCAACCCCCGACTCCGTATCTCGCACTCTCGCCGAAACACACATCGCGCCACTTTCCTCCCCCGATTCCTCCAATCCATTTGATTCTACCACGTCCTCTTCCTTCAAACCTACTTCTGAAAAACCGTTGATCTCAGAACATATCAATCCCCATCTCCCTGATCCATCTACAGCTAGCGAGACAACACCAGTCGAGAAATCCCTCTCCCCTCCGTCCCAAGCACCGAACTCCCCTCCTCAACCACAAGCGCAACAGAAAACAAAGCTCTCGACCCCGCACCCCTCTCCTCGCTCACAACTGAAGCTCCAAACCCAACCGGCAAACCAATCGAATCCTCCAAACCAAGCAGCACAGCCAACGCCCAAGGGGTCCCCACCGATCTGCAACCGCTCGGATCAGAATCCTCATCCGAAAAACAAGACGCTCAAGGCACAGGTGAAAAACACATCAAGAGTTCGGGGTTGGTGGCCGAAGGAGGAGACTTCGATGCTGCGAGGCCTGGGGCTGGGAGGGAAGCAGATCGATTGTTGGGGAAGGAGGGGAGTGCTGGGGCAGTGGGAGCAAGTGGTGGAAGTGCTGTGGGAAGTGAAGAGGAACATGGAGAGGGAAAGAAAGAGGGAAAGTTAACGCATTTGAAGGAGAAGATTAAGGAGAAGTTGCATAAGCATTAGGGTTGTGGATTGATGGATGTGGGAGGTGGGGATGATAGGGAGATGATATCATTTATGTTTATTGGGATTCGGAACTGGGCTTGAGGGTTTTGAGGTTTATTTCTTGACTTTCTTCTTCTTGGGGAATATGGACTTTGTATCATGTATGATGAGATGCGTTATGAGATTTATGAAATGAGATGATAATTCATGAATTTGAGTTAGTCGGTACGAGAATGAATGGTGATGTGATGGACGTTATGTGAAGTAAAATGAGAAGCATTAGGTTATGATATGATAGCAATGACAATATCACATCAATGCCCTTAGACACAAACATCACAATGTTATATAGACTTTACAAAGCATATAACATTCCACTCGACACAATGACGGTAGGCCCAATAAATTTATAGAATAAATTACATTTTGCTATCTAACTACCTAGTATTCTAATTCTAGTGTACACATAAAAGTCAAAATAAACAACCATAAAAACAAATCTTAAGCAATTCCATGTCATTTCCAGATTTGCCTCAGAGTCATCATGAGAATTCTCAAAACTGGAATGCTGACTTTATAAAAGCAGGAATATTTTAGAGATGTGAAGAGCACTTCCCAGACCAACTGAAATAGAAACGATAACATACAATGGCCCAACTTTCAATACTATCGAGCAAGTCTAAAGACCTTCTAGAAAATCAAAATCATCGCTACTGAGTTTGAGCATGTCATCCTTGTAACCTGGAGCAATAGCAGCCTCGTTACTGTTGGGAGTGGTTTCGCCGTTGCTAAAATCTACCTCGTTGCTGAAAGCAGAATCAAGAAGAAGATCGTTGCTAATGTGAGTGACTCCGTTTGTGTAAACCTCGTTAGCACGGCTAGAAGCTCCGTTGTGGGTGGAAGCGGCCATACTTTCATGGCCATTGCGAAGAATGCCATTATTGCTGTAAGCAACGCCACTGCTACCTCCATTGATTTCTTTATTGCTCGGGAAAATCTCATCGAAGTTTCGAAACTCCTCATAACTGCTTCTTGGACTTTGATTTTCGCTGCGAGTGATCTCATTGCTGCTCACCACTCGAGGAATAACATTCTGGATCTTGGGACCAACAATTCTCTTTCCGTTTTCAAATCGAACCGGCTTATGAGTTTCTGCAAAGACCAAGTCCCCAGAGTCTGGTTTATTCTCATTTGCGAGCTTCTCTCGCTCAAGACGCTCTTGATCAATATGTTTATCCGAACGAACTGGGTCCCAAGTGTCCCAAAGTTGACGGCCCTTTTCTGGTGACAACTCTCTCTTGGTGGGAGAGGGTGCAAATGTATAAAGCGAATTTTGACCACCCGACTGACCCGATGAGAGCTGTGTGTATGAATTGCTCTGCCCAATTTGCTGATCCAGTTTCCAGGATTTTTGTGGAGAGCGTTCTTTCTGCTTAGCGGGAGTAGTGTTCAATGCATTGTTTCCATTCTCATTTTCGGCAGTGATCTTCTTGGGCGAAGATGCTAGCTGAAGAGCCTGCATGCGATCTAATGTACGACATTCTTCGCATCGACAAGGCTGACCACAATTGTTACTGCAACCATGACCACAGTCAAGCAGCTTTTCACAAGGTTCTTTACAGAGAACTTGATCATGAGGAGTTGGGTGGCACTTATAAGGACATAAATGGCCACACGGCAACATGCCACCGCAAAACTCATGACAACCACCACTTAGATCCTCCCAATGTTCAGGCTCTGAGACATAAGAGTGATTCTCATGCTTAGAGCATAAAATAGGCAGCTTGGAGCCAAATCTCTTCTCGTCCAATAGATGCAAAAGAATCGGCATCCAAAGCTTATCTCGAGAGCCATTGTCAGCTTCTTGCCCCGCAACAGTAAGTGCATTTCCAAAGATGTAGAGACCACGTTGTGCACGAGATAAAGCAACAACCACACGATTCTTACTTCGTAAGAATCCTACCGAACTATGAGGGTTACCTCTTACTAATGATAGCAAGATAACTTCATTTTCCTCGCCTTGATACGCATCGACAGTATAGACCTTGAAGTATGGTGTTGCAACGCTTGTGACACGTCGACTAAGCTCCTTTAGGAGTAATTTTCGTTGGCCATTGTAGTACTATGAATCTATTAGCCAAGAACTGTAGGGAAGTTAGGATCAATCCATACTGTTAGTACAGTAATTTTCTCTGGCTTAATACAATTGAGAACTAAGTAGTTGAAGAATCCAGCGACCATTTCAGCTTCCGGGGCATTATAACAACTCATATTGACATCTCTATGTTCTTGCCATTTGTGGGAGAAGAAGTATGAATCAAAATTCATGCCAGGAACTGGAGGCCGATGATTGACTCGGTCTCGTACATTCTGGTGATCATGAAGATCGATATAAAACGGATTTGGCTCAATACATAAAAGCTCTCGAATTTCTGGAATCATACGACGTTGTTTGTTCAACATTGTGTAAGCCATACCATTATTAACAAGTCTCTCAAACAAGGAGATTGACATGTAATATGGTTGTGACATGAAGCGGTCAAGTGTAGTATTTGCCGTCAATTGTCGATGATCTCCCACAAGTATCACTTGCTCAAGAGATGGAATAATACCTGCTGTGACATTTGCTTCTAGAGTTTCTGCCGCTTCTTCGATGAGTAGTACACTCGGATTTAAAGCAGAAAGTAGACCTCTATACTTAGATAGACCAGTTGTGGTACAACCAATGACTCTTGTGTCTATATTATCAATAAAATCGGCATCACGTCTCCACTATTTTTATCAGTAAGCTCTATCAGTTATGAAAGAGTTGACATACCTTTGCCATCTTTAATTTATTCATCGAGGCTCTATAGCTGTCGAATTTCTTACTAAGTTTGTGGGTCAGTTGATCATAGTAGAGTTTTTCCCAGTAGCAATAAACATGACCGCGATACTTGTCTGGAATGTCGAGAAGACTCCCAACTCTGGCGAGTATGTTCTTGGGAGAATTCTTGCCAATGGCCCGGGCCCCAAGAGTTTTACCTGTATATGAACGACTGAATGGAATCCACGTCCCATTCAAAGCATCCATGACATCATTCGCTTGGACTTCGACTTCGCTCTCTTGTAATTGATCAAATTCCTGGTCAGGATCTTCTATCTCAAGATGCTTGTTAATCACTGGAGTTCTCGGCATGCGGACTTTCTGCGCTCCAAGCCCTATATACTGGTAAGCAGAGTTAATTAAACATGTCTGAGCTGTTGTATACGTACAAGATTCAAGAGGGTCGACGTTTTCATCTTGCGTATCCCCCGAGTCGCACCAACCAGGCTCGAAGAAAGAGTCATAATGTTCTTGACTCATTACGCCTGACTCCAAAAGAACTCTAGCGGGTAAAATCCCAAAATCAATGACAGGGAAAAGCATTAATTCAATAGATTCAACCAAGTCGTTGTGTGCTTTGCAAGCTGATCTGACGCCGCCATTGAACTGCTTAGTTTTCAATTTTTTGTGTTCTTCGCGGAGCTCATATAATGTTCGTGCCAGGATTGTCGAATTCTTCTTGTCACATCTGCTCCCTAGACGCACAAACTTTTCCTCGAAACCAGCAATGTGAGTGAGTAATTGATCGAGAGCGTGATTGGTCTGAGCAGCAACAATGACTGGTCCATTACCCCTGTTGCACAACATGGCTTTGAGGGCTTGGACGGAAGTAAACGTCTTACCAGTACCAGGCGGGCCCTATCGACAAGGGTTGAATCAGTTCAGAGCTCCACGCACCAGCAAAAGTGAAAACGGTGAAGAAGAATATCTCACCTGCACAATTGCTAAGCTTTGAGTGAGCATACGCTTACAGGCCGCGAGCTGGGAGTCATCCATGCCTGATTTTGGAAGAATTGGAAACTCCTTCAAAACATCGACATGGCACAGAGTTTCGTCTTCTTCGTCGGTAAGGTCCGAAAAATGATGACCACTCGACAGAGCAATCGAACGAAGGTCAAGACAAGGTCTTTCTTTGATATGATCAGGTGGCAAAATATCTCTATCCATTTCAATTAGATACTTTTGGATGTAGGGTCTATTCTCATTAGCATCCTATTGCTCTTTACTTCCTCAATCTTCATTCACGTACGAATCTTCAGTGGCCAATTTCTGGAGTGCTACAAGCACATGACGGTAAGCCTCAAAAAATCCCACTCGGGACTGGATCATAATATATGCTAAAAAAGACATTAGCTTCTACTGAATGTTGAGGGCGTTATGCGACTAACACTCTGTTGGATTCAATATAATGTCTTCGTCATCCCCAAAGAAGAGGTCAACTTGTGGAGGGTCACAGTCTAAGCCACCTTCTATAGGCCTAGCTGCGACAGTACCAACCTTACAAATGGAACGGAATTTATCGCTAGTTGGACTTAAGCACACGAGACTACCTTGTGTAAGTCGGCTTGACTGTTCCCACCGAATTCTTTTGCCCGCTTTGTCACTTGAGAATTCGATCCTGAATGCTGGACCGAGATGGCTCAATTGGAGGCCCACGAGGTGAACCTACAACAATATTAGCGGGAACGTCTTTGCTCACTGCTATGTGGCACGACATACATCTGTGTAGATAGAAGTGTCTTGTGTATCACTCATATTACTGTTTCTCTTGAATTCGGCAACAGATTGACGAAGAGGAGCAACTGCATCTTCTCGTAAAATCTGGTAATGAAAACCAAGGTACTCTTCCTTAGAGCCCCAAGCGCCATCGATATTATTGTGTGGCAGGCGTGGATCGAATTCTTTCGGCTCCGCCAATCTTTGGTAATCCATTGGCTGCTCTGGACCATCCTTTTCTTGCCATGATACATCTTCAAGAATCTCTTCACTAGTTGGGATTTCGGGAAGATTTCTCCAAGATTCGAGGAATTTGATTATTGCGTAAGGTTTCTGCACATGCTCTCGCAATACACGATCCGCAAAACCCCTACTGTATACCATGATCGCAGTTTCTTCTCTACAGCCAGAAGTCAGTCCGAGTTTTTAATCCTTTTAGATTCGGCAAGTATGTGATCTTACTGACCTTGGCGTGTGAGCTCTAGGTCGGTCCCTATGGTATTCAATGGCTGCGATGTAGATATTAGACTCGCATTATCTTTAATTACCAGATGAAAAGTTGAATAAGGTTTGTGAAAGGTCAAATTTCACGGCGATTGTGGTTTGAACGATGGGCTTGTGACCTCCCAAGACTCTTCGGAGTTTAAAGGTATCTGAACCGGTTGCGCAAGACCATAAAAGTGACAATATAGACTTCAACTTCAACCGCAAGGGGATGGAAACAATGATTTGATTGACTGAGCAAATACAAGATTAACGGTCTTGGAAGAGAATTTTAAGTGTGGCAAGACGTTGAGGAATCTCATAATGGTCAGCATCCTATGTGCCAATGTGTGTCAAACAATCCTATAGAGCTGACTTCTCTCACCTGACGTGTTGCCGACCGGAATAATTTCAACTGATTTCCCAGTCTTTGGGAAAGAATTCGATTGTCTAAACCCGTGCTTAAGTTTTCGAAGACAATTGTCGTTGTCGACAACTGGATGATATGGCGCGTTGAAGATTTTATATTGGTCGCGAACTTTCATTCATGAAACGCACAATTGATCCTATAAGGAGTTGGTATCAATTCTTTTGAGTCGATCCCAAGGCAAGATTTCGCTGTGTGAGTGATTTGGAGGTTGCTTAGAGAGCGAGATCGGCACTTTCAAAATACTTCGAAGAAAATTTGGTAGAATTCACTTTATCGAGCCTTCCCAAAACAATCGAAATTTGCAAGCGAGAATCGGAATGAGGCGGGCAGCTTTAGAAACGCGAAAAATGACAAGTACTTCGGAATGTCCTTCGACACCTATTGAATTTACTGTCCAAATAATACCTAGTAGGCAGGTCATGAATGAAGAGATGAAAAAGGTAAAAAGAAAAGAGGTGAATATCTAGTACGGACTTCTGGGAAGTTTCTGGAGCGTGTACACTTCCACTCGTTTGCAAGCCTTGGATCGGCTCGGTAGCTTGCAGTTTGTAGTTTGCAGTTTGCATTTTGCATATTGCACATTGCAAATATTAGGACTTTTCTTTCATTGATGATTAATTTTAAAGCAAACAGAGATTGAGGTGCCTAGTCGCCCATGGCCTAGTAAGTACTAGACAGGTAGATTGGCATATACTGAGGTAGGTATAATCCAAACCAGCTTAGAGTCGGCTTACTTATGTAGCTAATCTTTGAAAGCCTCTATCTTCAAAGTAGATGGATGGTTGCAAATCTCTTTGACATCTACTCCCTCCGCAAACTAATCGGTCACAACTTTTACCATATTCTTGACTCTTTTCATCATGGGCGAGTAAAAGATATTGCCCAGACCTACAAAGTACACCTACCTAAGTACCGACTAGTGGTATGGCTGAAAGCCTTACGACACCTCGCCTACTCCTCGTCAAAGTCTTGATGTATCCCGTCTCCTGGATTAGATTCTAGATATCTCAATGTTTTCTGAGATGTTCTTAAGCAAGCATTGATTCGGACCATGATCATGAGAATGCATTTAAGAATCCGAGATCTGTAGGATAGAAAGGAAAGTGCTTTCAATTTTCCAAGGTAGTCACTTTTTCCAAGGTGAGTGTTTCGAGTCAAGGGTGTCCCAATAGTTGCTTCAAGTCCGATCCAATCTACCACACTGTGCAGTGGACTGCCTTGATGTCATGAAAGAGGATTTAAAAATGTTTCCAAAATTGATGCAGTGAGGTTCTCAGCCTCCCACGTGATGCGTAACCTTGTTGATGCGGCCGCTAGCATGACTAGCTATCAAGACCCTGTCTTCGCATTCATGATTCAAAGGCCAATTCTATTTGTATCGTCACAATATAACTTAGCGATTCTTCAATTGTACAAAAGCCCCTTCAACTGTTGTAGTTTAGATGAGCTTGAATTATCTCCTACTGTCTGGAGAATCTGTGACGTACCTTATTTGTCCATATTCAAAGGATTCCCCGAACTCATTCCCGAGTATCTACTTAGAATATCCTTGTGCGCCCCGCGTTGCCCTGCGATCGAATTCAAGCTGAATAGCTTGCGCTAACGCGAATTCATTGCTGACCCAACCCGGAGGATTGTGTTGTGGAGGAGGGGTCTGTAGGTGTTCAAGATGGTGGATTTCGCGTTAGATATTGATGACGGTCGGTAAATGCAGCATCTACTCTATCATTATTGAGTACTGACTTTAGCTTTGCCAGGATCGAACGCGAGCTCCGACAATTACCAAGATGACATGATGGAAGATGCAGATGAACTAGACCCCGAACTAGATGGTGACGGCGACGGAGATGGGGATGGGGATGCTGATGGGGACGGGGATGAAGAAGTAGACGACGACGACAATGATGACGATAATGGAGAGGATGACCAAGATGATGGTGACGGTGACGGTGATGGCGATGGAGAAGGTGAAGACGACTTTTCCCCTTCGCAGAACAGAGGAGACCTAGACACTTCGAACTCGAACGACACTCAAATGAATGGCGTGGGTCCCACCTCACAACCTCATCCGACCTTAATAAGGACTTCAGCCTCGCCGCAACACAATTCTGCTTCATCATTATCCCCAAGATTTAGATATGAAGTTAGGCCCGAAGCATTAACTGCTTCTACCTATGATATTGTACCAACAATAGCTGCTCCGCAGAGTACATCGATCAATGCAATTACGGCAACACCTGATATGAGATACTGGTTTAGTGGAGGTTCGGATTGTTTCATAAGGAAATACAATGGAGTTGACACAGTTAATGGTAAAACATTACTGACTGTTGCTCAACGGCATCCATTTGTTGATAGTGTAGTTAAAGCTGGCGTTCTTATGAGCTATTGGGACAACGAGGAATCAAGTAGAGGCCCTGGCGGAGAGGATAACCCATTGTCTCCCGTCTATTCATTGGCAGTACAATCTGAGGCTCTTTGGATGTTATCTGGACTTGAATCGGGATGCATAAACTTACAATCGGTGCGACACGATGAAGGGAAGAAAATAGCCACTCTGCAAAAACATACATCTGCTGTCTCGGTTCTTAGTCTTGCTCGCGATGAGAGATCTGTCCTATCAGGCAGTTGGGACAAAAAAGTTCTGGATTGGGATTTAAATACTGGATTAGTCAAGCGCACATTTGATGGGAGTGGTGGCCAAATCTCTGCAATAGAAGTAAGACCGGCCTCCACGCTACCCGTTCCCGAAGAATCTGGCGAACCAAGCCCTCAAAATGGAACCTTCTCTAGTAACATTGGGGAAAAGCTACTATTGAATGGAGCTTCTGGTGGAATGAATGGGACCAATGGATTGAACGGAGATGTAGAAGGTAATGAGGATGCTCCTGGATCACCTGCAGATTCTCTTTTCGGGGGTGGAGATTCATTATTTGGAGATACAGATGGACTGGGAGCTCCATCCGGGGGAAACTTTGGTGATGACGAAGATTTGTTCTCGAAAGCCTTGGATATGAACATAGAAGCACGGCCAGATTCTTCGGGTGATATGTCTATGATGGATGCACCGCCTCTACCAATTGAAAAAGAACCTGCTTCTTCTCTTCAAATCCAATCCGAACAACCACAGGCTGATCTATCTAATGGCTTACCTCATTCCGATGATATCATTGAAGCAAAGGCAGAGCCTGAAACTCAAGATGCCGATGCAACATCTGACTCCACATTTCTTGCTGCGTCTATCAATGGAACTATTCGTGTTTGGGATAGACGTCAACCAAACCCAATTGCTCGAATTTTGACCAGAACAGGAGTACCTCCATGGTGTATGTCTGCTTGCTGGTCACCTGATGGTAACTACATATATGCTGGCCGAAGGAATGGTACAGTAGAAGAGTTCAGTTTACATAAAGGTCTCAAACAACCTGAAAGGACGTTTAAGTTTCCAAATGGAAGTGGGGCAGTCAGTGCCATAAAAGCCATGCCTAATGGGAGACATCTTATTTGGTACATTGAACATTCTCTCTCGCGCTTTATCCACCGAACTAACGAATAATAGTGCATCACACGATATCTTACGTTTATATGACTTGAAGCAACCACAGACTAAATCACATTCATCTGTACCTTTCCTCATTGTTCCTGGGCCACCAAGGGCCGGTGTCATAGCTGCACTTCATATCGATCCGACGTGCAAATACATGATATCAGCTGCTGGAAACAGGGGTTGGGAAGGTACTAATACGGAGGTTATGATTGGTTACGAGATCAATATACCATCTTAAATATTCTGGCTACCGATTTCTGTCGAGAGCTAAATACGTCTACCATGCTCTTATGAAGGGAGTTATCTTGGGGAAAAGAGTTATTGTATGTCCTTTAGACGGTCAATGTGGGTTCATTACGTGAGACAAGTTTGGATAAATCTATTATAGTATATATGTGCTAGTCTTGTAAGCACCAAAAAGCTTTGAAGGGGGTAAGAGATTCGGTACAGGTTGTTTAAAGGCGTTCAGTGGATATGGGGATACCACGGGTTGTTCACGACGGCGTTCACAAGATGTTATTTGTTTATACATTCAGTTTCACGATATTATTGATAAAATCCAAAGACTCAATTTATCAAGACGGTTCTTAGCTCTCTCTTTGCTGCCCTCAAATATGGATACCTCCAATGGCCGGTAGTAATGGCTTGCGGCCCATGAGACGCGACTGCCATATTCCTCATTGATACGATGTTTATGATATAATCCACAACCGCAAGTGTGGTTGCAATCTACAAGCTAGGTGGTTTCCTGGTTGCCTCTACCTAAATGGAGCGAACTAGTCGAGTAATAGAGACTGTAGCTTTGAATGAGGTTGTTGAACTCTCCCCTACCATTCTGCTGCCTAATTAAACCATACCTTCTCTGTTTGCAACGCATCTATCCTCTCTTTGAATCCCCTGGAAACTTTTAGACAATGATCGGCAGGCCTTGGCAGGAGAGTATGTAAACTTGCTTCTTGTCTTCTTACGCGCAGCGGTATTTTTGGAGTGCTAGTGGCTTGAGGGTTGCTGATTTTTTGAAGCTGGGATATTTATTGAACTCGTGGGGATTACTAAATTGAGAACACAGGAAATTAAAAGAGGCTGCACTTTTATTATCAGATGTTTGGAATAAGATGATGAATTACGCATCGAGGCTGCATGTCTACTTGACCGAAGGAGTCCTTTTTTATTATTAGATATTTTGTGACGACTCCACGTGACTAATAACTGGTGTAAAGTCTCTTACTCCGCTTTGACTGGATTTCTCAGGATTGGCAAGTTGGTCTTGCTTATAGCCTTACTATCACTCGCGATAAACAGTTCTCGAAATGGTGACTGGCTGTATCAATCAAAGCCTATTACCTTGACAGATTACTGTTAGGTGCCACAGCTATGTAATACAGCGACGTTGATACCCGTGGCACGACGGTAGGCGCAGACACCAGCTGTTCGGCACATTCTTAATGACCAGTTGGGCTTTTAGACGATCCTCGATCTGTTTTTCTTTTGTTCTTCTCCATGAAATAATATTCATCACAGAATGGATCCAGTGTCAATCTTCGGTCTTACCGGCTCGGTCTTAACTACTGGAAAAGTTGTTACAAGTCTCGTCACAAGTCTCGGCATACTCAAGTCGAAATACAAAACCGCCGGCCTTATGGCCACTCTTCTGATTTGACAACTGACAACTATGAAAGCTGCGTTAAATAAGGTGTCGAACTAGATTGCGACAACTTTTCAAAGAGTTGACAAAAATAAACAACTCATAATTAATCTAGTAAGCTCTCTTGAAAGTTTTCATGTTTTTTATATGTTGGAAGATCACATTACCTGGCTGGATCAAAATGGCATTGACCGGCAATTGAAAGGAAAAGCTAAATTTCTTTGGAACGAAAGTGAGGTCAAAGAACTCAACAACTACTTGAATAGTAAGGCCAATGCTCTTCATTCATTGCTCACGGCGGTACAAAGGTATGTCTCCGCGAAATTTCTAATACCAAGCAAAGCCTTGCAATAAAGATATGTTATCCGAACTGTGTTAACAAACGAAACAGCCGCACTTCATTCGACCGCAATCAGCTTTTACAGAAACCTGAAAGCCAGAAAGTTTTCAGAAAGGTCGAGGATGGCCGCTCGTCATTGTCAGTATTCAAATCTAGAAGTGGTACTTCCGCAGAGACGAGTAGCTCACATGTAGCTTTTGACTTTGACAAGGAGATCGCTGCCACGAATGTGCATCGAAATGTTACAATACCACCAGATGACGAGCAATAGATCCGAAAATACATCCTTGCCCCGTTCACAAAATAATAGGGGCACTAGGATGGATTGGAACCAAGATTCGAAACAGGCGAGCAAAATTTTCATCAAAGCCCACAATTGAATGTCGTTTCGAGCAGACCATTCCAAGTGATTGCGATACCACCTTACCAAGTTCAAGACCGACTTCAATAGATGACAAAACTTCGACGATGGATGTATCTAATGATAAATCGCGGTCCACAACTTTTGACTGGCAATCGGAGAAACACAGGTCCTCTCCAGATATTGTCAACAACCCTTTCCACTTATCAATTCATATTCTACACGAAGACTCTTCAGAGACATCAAATTTTCACAAGAATAATGATCTTTGTCCCAGTTCATACCAATCTCTCCAGATTCTCCATTGCATTCTTATATCGGGGTGTAGTAACAGTGGAAAAGCCACCCTCACAGATTCCATTGAGTCTCTCTCTCTCGGGACATGACTAGGGATGAAAGTTGGATCTATGGAAAGGCCATCCAATCATACATTCTACGTTCCATTCTGTATACAGTTTGGGAGATGAGAAAACGCAATGTCTCCTCCCATTGGGCTGAGAAATATGGGTTATACAATATCGGTGACTTCAAGGACGGACGACTTGTTACGCATAATGTTTGGTCGTATAAAGGCTACACCAAGCCCAGAAACTGCTCAAGTCCCACGCTAGAATCATTTCTGAGTGCCTCATTCTCATCGGGGCTCTATTGCCAAACAGTTCCCGTGGTTCACCTCCCACATCCCAATGGCACCAAATTTCAACTGACCATCAGCGGTGTCGTAGCACCGAAATCTTGAAATGAGAGGTGGATATCTCTCAACCTTTGTTCCAACCACAAAGCGACTTCCATCCAATTCATAATAGCGAAATCGGATTGGTATTCTATCAACAGATTCTCTATCCTAATTCTTCGAGACATATCACTCGTCGCTACCCAAGCAGTTGTAAGGACCATTGGCATAGCACTCGATCCTAATGGACGATACTCAAGTGCTTCCTCAGCAAGGACGATGGTTTCCTCGACATAGCATACCGATTCCGGAATTAAAGATGGGAGATCGTTCGAAAACACACGAAGTAAGCTGTTTAGCAAGTTGGCAAATGAGAGTATCAGACTATACGCGGCTTGAAAGCGTGAATGTAGTGTTCTGGTATGTGGGGCTTGACGGAGTTTGTCTAGGGAATTCCGCATGGTTGAGAGGTCAATTTTCATCTGAGCATATGTGGATTCAATTTCAAGAAAATACTGTTGTGGATATCTCAAGTATTCTGGGACTTTGGCCAGGGTTTGGAGCTTGAGGCTTTCGATCCGAATGGCGTTATCTCGAGCTTCGGTTAGTTTTCCTATGACTGGGGTCCATTTAACCTTGGGGTTTCTGATGCCTTCCATGATCTGTAATAAACCATGAGCCAAAGTATTCACGCGATTTTTCTTAGACTTAGGAAAGAGATTCCACATACCAGAGGGACACACAAGGTCACCAAGAGTTCTGCTTCGAAGGTTCCTTGCCAATTTTGCGCTGCAGCTGCGTTCAACAAATATACTAATATTTCCCCATGATTAGCATTATCATCACCGTGAGCCATCCAAGTCTAACCTAAATCAGCATCATTATTCGCTTCATCAATACCAAGCCAACTCACCTGACAAATCATCATCAAATAAAACGCACAAATAGTATTCGCTTCAGTAGCCTCTTTCGGATCATTCAACGCTACTCTCAACGCCTTTAACCCCCTCCCGTAACTCTCGAGCGCCTCTACTGGTTTAGTACGTGAATATATCGACGTATATGACGTCGAAATAGCATTAACCGAAGCATCTAGTGCGGCGCTACTCCCCAGCCGCTTAGGGATCTCTGTGAGAAATGCTCCATAGACACCAATATCGTAGCGAATATCTTTTACTTCCAGAACGGATATGAATGATCCTGCCACGGAAATATCTTTGTTACCGGGCATTCGGAGTATTTGTTTGCGAGTAGTGTGGAGAGCATGGTTGTTGTGATTCGTGGTTGTGGAGCTAGTTGTTACGGTGGAGTCGATGGAGCCAGATATGAATTTGTAGCGCCTAATTCCACTACCTATGCATGGAATTGATAGTCGAATACATCGTGAACATGAGGGCTTGACTTGATCACACTATTTCTCATTAGAAACATAGCTAATTGGTCCAACACACGAAATGTTGAGCAATCAAACCTTCTTCTTCTGTTTGCGACACGCTTCGCATCCACGTCCAGATGGTACGCCAGGCATTGCGATTTCACAAGAATAAACTCAAATATGAGAGCGCTACATGTGACCCTAAAAGGAAATATGGTACATGTGGATAATGTGGATAATGTGGATGAATGAAAACGCAACGCGATATATAAATCTATAAAAATCAATGATTGTCAGAACAAATGGGGAGAATGGAGAAGCGAAGGGGCTCAGCGGTGCTTACAGTTGGGGGCCTAAACTCGCCAAGATGGGAGCGGCACGTAGCGCCTATTTGGGAAGTGGGATGACATAATCTAGCACGTCGATCTTTACGCAGTCATGAAAAGCTGAATCATGGGGGGAAGTCGAAGTAAGCTTATGTGGATTTGACGTGATTAGAGAATAGAGTATCAGATGTATGGGGGGACAAAGCGCGATATTATACCGAAATTGGTGGTTGGCGTGGAACTTTATTTTTGATAGGGTGGGATGGGAATAGCCTTATCAGCGCTCGACGTCACGGATGCTGCGAGGGATAGCTTGGGTATATATGAATAAAGGGTCTACAGTTGATTAAAATTAAAGATTATAAAAATAAACAAAAATATCAACTTTTTCGATCAACGCGCAAGAAACAAACTTCGAACCGTCGCAAAAATGGCAACAACAGCTGCAGGCCCATCTATACCTCTTCAAACCACCACCGCCACTACTTCCACTACCTCTTGTTCTTCCCCTCACCAAGCCCTCTCCGTCGATTTCTCCTGGAAAAAATGGAAATCACTCATCACAACCCAAGACTCTTCCTCCTCCTCTTCATCTCAACCCCTCTACACCGTCTCCTACAAAACCCTCTCTCCCAATCTCGTCTTCAAATCCGCGCTCGACAAATCCGTCTTCGGCACCGGAACTCTTCATCCCTTCTCCATCGACTCCGACTGTTCGTTGCGCGATCAACCCATACAATTAAAAGCCATGAAACGTTTCAAGACAGAGTATTCGCATCTATCCCGTACATTTTCTCCCTCGAGCAAAGAACCGGTACAGATGCTCTGGACGTCATCCTCGGGTTGGAAAAATTGGGATTTCATCTGTCTGGATGCGTCTTCCATGCCGGTTGCGAAATTTTCGGCGAATACGATGAGTCTCAAGAATGTGGGACGGATTGAATTTTTGGGAGAGGAGGTGATAGGGAATGAAGCATTCAAAGAGGAGATTGTAGTGGTGGGGATGACGTTGATGTATACGATGGTTTTGAGATCGACTAGTTTTTTGAGTCTTTTTGGAGCATTGTTTGCGAAACCTGGGAGGAAGGAGATGGAGGAGGAGGGGAAAGGGGGGCAGGCGAACGATGGAAAGGTACATGGGGATTAGGTGGGTCCAGAGGGTGGAAGATGATTCTTGGAGATAGGGGATGAAGTGAGGGGTGGAAATTTATGTGATACCAGGTTTTATATTCTAGATTTAGATGGCGTTTGGCGCGGTTTGTTCTTTTTTTGTTCCAGCGCTACAAATAATCTCATCATTCATACAATCATCTCTTCCTGGCCCATCTCAAACCAGCCTTCTCGGGATTCATCATCTGTAGCAAAAGTACCATGGCACTGTCATCCACCAACGTCGTAACTCTCTTCTCCGCTTCTTCCTGATTCTCTCCAGCCTCACTTCTTTCACCCAACACTTTCAAAGCATTTCTCTCCCCTCGCTCCAATTCAAGTCAAAAAGGCTTTCCGGTTTTCCTCCCAAGGCTTTCGAAGTCTGGTCACCATATCTATCACTTTTTTGGTACTCACAAGAATATATTTTCAAGGAGGGAAAGGTCAAATGCAATGGATTGAAAGTAAGCCTGCTTCATACAAAAAGAGATTCCCCGCGCTTATATAACTAGTAATTTCCGTGATATCACTCTCCATACTCGTAAATCTCTACCCCTATCCTCAACCACTCTTAAAATTTGACTGACACAAGCAAACAGTCACTGAGGCGATTCTTGCAAATACCCCACAGATATATTGTGATCTGAAATTGAAATTTTGCGGGGGCGAGCATTAGAATTAAGTAGATTTGGCTAGTCAAACGCAATATCATGCGTCTCATTCCATGGGTCCTCAATATACATGGAAATTTGTTTTGACCACTGTCTTCCGCATGCGTCACTGTTTGTGCACAAGGAAGCTATTTCATGAAGCAGACCGGGCAAATGTTTTTTTCCATTATGCTAATTTGGATATCAATAAAACAGATATTGACTATAATGGGGATGAATCATGTCCAATCCAGGAGAGAAGATAACTTAGCTAGCGAAAGAAACATTAGACAGGCTTAGAGGGTCAGAGTCCCCCACTAATGGATGTGTTAAGCGGTACAATCATGGTAGTATTTCTTAAGTAGCCTGAGTCTGTGAATCGGAGCATTGAAGCTCCACGTCCTGTCGTACATCAATTTTTTGTCGGTGGAGCAATACATCTTCCAATTCAGTGCTACGAGAAGTTGTTTTATTGATATCCACATATACAGAAGAATTTGTTAGACGAGATAAAAGACCAAATTGGATATCGAATATACGTTTCTTTTTTTTTTGCCTGTTTTCTTCACTTTCGTATCTCTCATATGGGTCTGGAAGAGTTGGCTGAGAGGTATTTTGGCGGGAAAATAGAGAACGAAATGAGGCAAGACAAGCGACTACGATGGCTCTAATTGCAGTTAGCGAATGGAATACAAATCTCACGCAGATGCTTGAAGCAAGACGTACCAACGGTCTTCTCGACAAAACTCCAGGTATAGAGCCAACTCTCCTCCACGCGGTGCGAGTGCGAGCTCACTATGGCAACTCGGACAATGGCAAAAATCATTGATATCATAATATGACAACCTGTGAGAAAATACCAGCCAATGCTAGCTTTCGCTTTCGACTTAAACGTACAGCCCAAAGCATACTGATTGGAATCGCCATGACTAGTTTATTGTCAGTTGTCTTTGCTAATATGAGGGCAAGATCGCTAGTTTACTCATTGTATCTGTCAAGACGTCCAGTCCGCAACCAAAACCTAGTGCAAAATGTTGCATCCTGATTGCGAATCGGGTTTGACAGGTAGCTGAAATTTTGACGAAGCTTGGTATCAAACATGAATAGGGAATTATTCCGATACATATCATCCAAGATCCAAACACAACCATGGCTACAATACGTCGTGGCCAGACATAAGAGTCCACATTCTCCAAGAGTCGCCCAAGGAATAATAGGAAAGATATCTTGATAAGCCATAATGCACAACAGTATAGAACATATACGGCCGCAGAGCCTCGTAGAAATCTCTCGGCATGCTTTTCAGATTTTTCCGGCGGGGGAAGGAGAACTCCGTTCAAAACTCCAAGCATCTCATACATGTCTCTACTGATCTTCTGACAAATAATTGCACAGGAAAGAAGGAGTATCCAGGCTACAATGACACAGAAACCATCGGACGAAAGGTGTCTGAAGGTTCGAATTCTGACATAGATTCTGAAAGTCACAAAAAGTAACGAGATTGCAGTACATCCCCAAGTTACACCACATTATGACAGTCAATATTTGACAATAGGGCATAAAAGAGGGCATGGAACAGGCTTATTATAAAAGTTTTATAGCTGACTAGTGAATTTGGCGTTAAAGTGTTCTTCATTTTGGACTACTCGAGAAATTCCAAGTCATCAATATCAGTACAGTCTTTCGTTCAAATTTTCGATATCCACATATCCGCATATATCCACGAGATGATCATTTGATCAGATCAGTCTTTTCATCCGTCTGAAATACAGCCTAATATATGATTTGGGGGGCATCAATAGCATGAACGATCTTCAAGGTATAGCTCGGCGAATTCCACAATTGGTGCCTGTCGAAGTTGGTTGCATTTATTGTCAAAGTAATGGCAACTTACATGAATAAGAGTATTTGAAAGGATCATGTATTCAGTGTAACACCAATAACCGTTGTAGGATTCGTTTCACTAGATTTCTGAAAGCACAATAGACTTGATAACCCCCTCCACTTACCACAAAATACGCCGCTCGTGATTTTAGTGTTGGATCGAAGAATACAGTTTCACGACATCTAATAATAAAAGGGGCATCTTCTAGCACGGTCAGGATTAACTATCCAAAATAGAACTGCGCCATATTCTTGAAATATTCTTGTGTGCATTTATGGATCTATCCATTGGATATCATGAGAGCGGCTCAGACAACTCATTGGCATCAACAAAAGCACCCACGGCAATTGTTGATTTTACGATATCAGGCTTTGAAGTCAAGAAAGTCGAATTCTTGTTACCCAATGAGGTCATCTGAAGCTGAGTCAAAATTTCGTGTTCAGACTCAATGCTTGCTGTGATTACCCCTGAATTTGTGATATCATGGTGGGTTTTACTACGAACATGCAGAGCTTATAATCGAAAGCGGTCGCAAAATTAAAGAGAAACCTCGAATTTATGTTCTAGATCGCAGGTCATCTTGACAAGATGACAACAATCCGTATTCTCAAGGTTGACTTCACTAGAGATATTATTCTGCATGGCTGATGAGCCAGTACCAATGTCAAGTTAAGGACAACAGAAGACCGTGAAGAGCTCCGGGATAGTCTGTCCGCCTACTTTTATCGCTTCAGACTCTGAGCGCTTAAAGTTGTCCATGAAGAAAGTAGATACCGAGAGGTGTAAATACCTACATACCGGCGTTGCGGACTAAGAGTACCAAACAAAAAACAAGACCACTTATAGACTTTGTAATCAGCGCATCAACAAGTCAAACATACAAAGAATAAAGGAAGCGGATGCCCCTAATTTAATGATAGACGATTGCAATCATATGTCAGTTCAAGAACTATATACTAAGTTCCTCAGAAGCTGAGGAGAAGAGTAAAAAATGAGGAAATATTGTTTTCGCAAGCAGGCAAATCGAACAAACAGTCGTACTTGAATTGTGGTGTTATACAAGCAAAGCACAGAATTTAAATACCAACAAATAGGATATTCCATTTAGCATCTAATATGATAGTGAGAGAAACGAATTGTTCGTGCTTTGGATGTAGTCTTTTCGGTTGAGAGCTCGGTTGCAGGGCTACTTGAGAGCGATTGACATACGATATACTAGGTAAGTGGAATCATACGGGGTAAAATATGCATGAAACAACAGACGAATTGATAGCTGTAGTGACTGATGGGTTCGAAGCTCTCAGGATTGATCGTGGTTGCATATTCGAATGAATAGAACGAGATGCTCTGCCGCCTGTGCTCCACAGAGAATGACCACTAATCACACCGCCTGGCAGAATTATTGACTTCATCCGAACACCCCAGCTGGCGATGATCTATACATTTTTCAATTCAGTCACTCGACTGTCTTGATTACGTTCCTCGTCAAGACGGACTTGTATCTATGTACTGAATACCTCATCCATACAAGTTTGTTGCGGAGAACTAAAACTTTCCTGGCATATTCACAGAGACATAAGAAGCGTTCAGAGTTTGTCACCTCTGTGGCAAAATGATGCACATCGCTGAACGACATATTATCGGATTTTGAAGACTACACACGGGCACGAAACCCCCAACTTCTCATATTTAGCGTCATGAATATAGCTATATCATGTTACATCTCCAACCTTTAACCCCAAAACACCAACTTCGTCTTTTCGCCCTCGTTCAGTGGCGGAATAACTCCAAGGAAGCTTGACATCGCCAAACGGCGCGTTCCTATCTCGGAATAGACAGGATGCACTTGGTGCATATTGCGAGAGTTGAAGAGGTATAGATCACCAATGTGAGGCTGGAAATCTACCTTTTGACGTCCCTCAACAAGACCCGGGAAATATCCATAACTATCGGGGTCACGAAATTTCAATGCTTCGGGAGACCACTGCAAGTCGTGAACAGTAGTACCGCCACTATTGACTGGTGGAGGAGTTATGCAAAGATTAGCCGCAAGTTGGTGAGTTAATCGGCTAATTGCCCATGGTTCCGTCCGAGTATCATAAGGTGCCCAATCGCAATGAACTGGTGTTCCATTGTTGATTACTCGAAAGATGCCAGCGAAGTAAGATTGTGTCCCGTCGTCTACTACCTCGGTGGCTATCATGACCTCCCAGTCTTCAGGTGCAATTGATTTTATGAATTCAAAGACCTTAGCGAGCGCATTTACGCCAATTTCCGCTTCCAATTTTCCATGCGGGTCGCCCAGGTCGCGTACAGCCTGGAAGTATTCCTGCTTTTCTATAAATCTAATCAGTTAATGTCTACATGCCATGGCATGGGAAAGACTTTGGAGAGATTGCTGTCGACAGCACGTACCGTTTCCAGACCTATTTTTCAAGTCATCCTCACTCTGTGCTTGAAACTCAAACTGAGCAACGCCTACTTTTGCCAATTTTGGGCCAGTAGCATGCAGATACGGCGTAAGTCTTGGCTCGAGTGTCTTGGTGAGCTTAGAGCAATCCTCTTTGGAAAGGAATCCGGGCTCGTGGAGGATAGGGGTTCGACCTTCTAAAAGATCTAGCAAGGATGCACTCGTAGCACGAACAGGTTTGTTGGTTTTCCATTTCGATTCAATGGCAGGATTCGCTTTGGAACTGTGGTGAAGATCGGGTGTGATGTTAGTGGCTGCAATCATGATTCCTGATTACAACTGCAATATTAGAACAAAATTTATGTTTTGGAATTGGCTAACGAGAGAAAGGCTATACAAATATCACTCGAAATGGAGGCTCGAGGGCATATATATATTGAACTGAATAAAACCCCTTACAAAATCAAAAGCAGATTTCTACATGGGCTTCCCGCTTGATGGAATCGGCAGTGGTATTGCGTGAATACAACCCCATTTCATTCCGATTTTTAATTTAGAATATACTGCTGCCCAACAGGAATAAAATCGCTTAAGCAATGTCTTCAGCAGCGATATTATACACAATCACCAGCTCAACTATTAATATTATGCAGGAATATCTATTTCAGTGCTGGAATTATTTGTACCACCATGTACAAGAATTCCTTGACATTGATGTTGTGTATGAGCATACATTCTCGTACCGATATCATGTATCCTGTCCCAGAATTGACTACCATGACCGAATGGACCAACCGGATGTTTACAGCACTAATACCTTACATGCAAAGATAATTTTGAGGTTGTAAGCTGAAGAATCCGGATCATCCAATGGCCGTGTTATGACAGGTTACACGGCATTGCTAATCATCCCATCGATCGGCAGGATCATATCAATTCCCGCCAATCTCCAAATATTAGTCAACGAATCAAACCGGAGACTTTATATGAAACGAGCTGCAACCGCTTTTACACCATTGACAAGAAAAAATGTCTCGTACTAGCTAGGAATACATGTGGCGCCTGTGAACATTCCGAACCCCGTCGCCGACATGCAAACGATTGGGAAAAACATGTTTGATTGGACAAAATAGCGAAACAGCATGTTGCATATATCAGCCAAGACGATGCAGGTTTTCTCAACATTCTTGTGAAAGTACGGAATTCTGAGAATGTTAAAATATGGCTTTGAGTATTTCTTAGCATAGACGAGCAATCGGAATCGAGCTGCCCTTTCTAGACACAGCAATCTTATGCATAGGCCCTCTGTGAAACTTGAATTCTAGCTGGAAATTCCCGAGATAACAAATGTGTCTCACAAACTATTTTACAGTGAGTATTAGAGAGTATAAAGAGAGATAATTACGTTAGGAGCTTGGGTCAATACACCATCAATATGATACTTTGAGTTTAGCTGTACGAGTCCACTTTCTCATAAGCCGCTGCACATACTCACTTAATCCTTACTGGAACTGGTTGAACAGATTTTACCAGAATTGCCGGAATGTTGAATACCAATCATATTTACTAAATACCGAAGGCTACTGAGAAGCTCACGACAGATGTTATCAACGTCACTCAAAGCTCCTTAGGGCAACAACCTTAGGTTCAAGAGTATACCAACTTTTCCCTCTTTCCAGAGCTTCTTCTCCCTTCCCACTCATTTCAAAAGCTATCGTCGTGTTTTGATTTTGACGACAGCATGTGGGTTACAGTTGCAGTTGCCAGATCATAGTATCGGTATTTAGGTAGTCAACAGAATTTGTGGCGTACTTCAGCTGCTGAATGTAACCCATTCGGTTTCTCAACTGCATGAAATCATACCAGACACTGCAGGTCCTAGGAAATACTACGTGATGCTGATACAGCGTTATTATTCACTCATGATGTGACGAATATACGCGTTGATGTAGGTGTGTACTGTGGCGTCCTTACACCACTGATGGACTAATTGACTCCCGAGAGCTCGTCACACCGACAGGTCTGTATACCTAGGTGGAGTTATTGTTGGTAAAGAAAGGATAAAACGTGAGTGTAGTCTTTCAAGCTCGGTGGGCGAATACGAATGGCCCATATGGGTGTTGTTAACTTGTGTTACAATTTGGATCTTAGGTCCAAATAACCATAGGCTTCAGTTGCGAGTGAGAAACTGCCGATAAAAAGGCTACTGTTCATCTCAATATACGTCTGCTCTTGATACATTGCTGCTTCTTGGTGAAAGGCTCGTTGTCTTCAATACTTCTAAGCTTGAATACAAAATCAGCATGCTCTAGAAGCCCGAGAGTTTCGCTGTGAAATGTTATCGTTTGTTTATTGCACGGGAACTTGCATCTGCACGTTTTGATAACATTTACGATCTACTTAATAACGACATGGCGGAGTTGAATGGACTTACAGAGCAATCAGGCGACAAGGTGCGCCGTAGCAAATGCAATGAGTCGTAGGAATTTCTAATGAAAGCACGATCGCCAACAAATTTGAAACAACAGTCGAGAGTGGCATCTTCCGCAACCTCAAATTCATATTTAATCTGCTTTGGAATTCACTTTTGACTTGTTCAGATTGTTTTACATTGTTGCGAAATCTCACCACATCATCTTCAGCGGCCATGCAACTTGAGAATTTGTCACTCGTACAACTATTGCGAAAGGTAAGCATATAAAAATTTCTTTTCACGCAAATGTGCTAAACTTATATAGCATGCAAAAATGGACAAGATCAAGCGCACAAGGAGAAATCGACAGCACATAGTGGGTGGAGGAACAAGACGACTCTTCAACAAAAAACCAAGAAGAGACGTCAACTATCCAAGAAAGATGGATGACTGGGACCGTAAGTTTCCCTGTTTCTGTAAACGTCGACGAAATAGTACTAACTACCCAATGAATAGTTTTTGCTCTGCATCCCAAGACGGACTTAATTATCACAAAATCGTCTTTCGCACGTTTGGCAAGAGACATTATGAATGATTTCAAACCTGGAGAAAATTACGAGATTGATCAGCTTGCATTGGATTCTTTGCAAAAATGTGCCGAAGCTCGTATTGTTCAGGAGTTCGAAAGTGAGTCTTGACTTTCTCTTTGATGATTTCTGTACTAATATAATAGTGGCCACTATATTCACTGCTCGTGCAAGTAGGGCGACGATTCAATCGAAAGATATGAAGGATGCAAAGTTTATCAGGGACTTACGGGATCGATATGCAGTCCGATTGGAGACGAAGAAGATGAACAAAATGGGGGTTATCAAGGAGTCAGACTGATGTCGGATTATTGGAGAATTCTTACGGAATTCGATACCTCTTGATACATGACGCAGAAGAGACACTTGTATTGTCCTGGGCAAACAGAAAGTTACATACTTACAGGTAGTCTGAGTCTGTTTGCCTCGATAGATGAAGGTGTTCTATTTCCGTTGCATCTCTCACTCGTGCAAAATAAGCTGAAGAAATGACAATCATAAGTGCACTCTTGCCCTCTACAAACTATCTAGTGACCGAACTCATCACTTGGATAGCTTCTCTGGCATTCTTTCACAACTACGTGAACCTCGTTTTATTCCATGTCTTTTTGGGGCGTTTGTCAATTAAAATCTCGAGTTCGATCAGTTAACTTTGCATCGATTTACCACAGTATTAAGCTCTAGCCCATCGGCAACCAAGAAATCAAACAAAATCAAACCGACCAACAGTTGGTGTATTTTGGCAAAACTGATGATACTCACCGATAGAACCGTGGTAATGTTTCTTCAGTGATGCTTTCATGTTCATGAATGTCCACATCAATTTATGACTACAATGTTCTTGCGACTAATAAGCACGCTTTTACTGCTCCTAACTCTCACAAGGGGTGAACGCAACATCTAGAAATTGTATCATGACTACATCATGGCCCCCAAGATTGATGCACCCGTCGTTGTCCTTCAACTGCGTCTTCGAGATCCAATATGAATACTTTTTACAAATATCATTATATCTGTCTTTCAGGATTTCAGGATTACTTATTCATACCTGTAATCAAATTTGATCAAGAGAGTATGGAAACTCAAAAAATAAGGCACACATTCATGAAGCTTTCACCGCCAGAGGGAAGTCAGCTGATATGTGTCGGAATACGACTGGTTGCCGTTAATCCATTGCGTGAGACAAAGACCTTGACAAAACGGGAGTGTGACCATATAGGAGCGGTTGCAATGGTGCTATATTGAGTACATACACCAAGCTTTCTTCGTGACACATCTCCGTTTGCCCTTCATTCTACACATTCCTATCGTTGAGCCAGTGCATATGCACAACACGAAACGGAAATGGTTCCACTTTTTAATGATAATCACTTAGGTCCATCCACGCAGAATCAGTCTTCAAGATTTCATCTCTTCTCTGATTTCCCTCAGGAGATACGCCTAAGGATATGGAATTTATCTCTTCATCAACACCGCTTCATCCCGGTTTGTGTAAACAAGACAGCTCGTCAAGACAACGCAAACCATCACGATCAATATCAATTCTATTCTAGTCATAACGATCTGGGCAAGATTATCAGCGGCGGTAATTACCAGCTTTCTATCAACAAACCCATCTTGAATACAACCAACCAGCTGTTCTATACCACGATAGAATCAAGATCAGCAGCACTAGACTTTTATCGTATTCGCCTACCTCTCACTCGAGGTCATATTCGAATCAACCCTGAGTATGATGTATTGTTCTTACAGGATTGGGACAAAGCTCCTCCAATGCTCGCTGATATCCTTCATGATATTAGAGCTTATGATCCAAAAGATGAGGGCCTGATGCATCTTGCTCTAGCGGAAGGATCAGGAGATAGTTTATTTGATATTCCACATCCCTCTAACATACTCTCCGGACATACTGAGATGGTTGATTTTGACTCTGACACGTCTCTAAACTCATTCCGTGATGAAACAAAGGAAGAGATGCAAACCGACAATGAAGTACCCTTTTACAATGAAACACTGAACTTACTGAGGGATGCAAGTCGAGAACGCCGTAATCGCGGTATGGGTTATGGAACTTCACAAACTTCTCATCACTCTACAGCCATCGCATCCCTCGTTGATATACTCAGTACCAAGCTCCGATCATTGTGGTGTGTTGAGAAGTTACTGTGTGACTCAAGGATCTACGACAACATAGGACTACGGATGGGAAGACCTCACTTATCGGAGACTTGTCCTATCATGCCTCCCTTGAAACAAATGGGCAGATCCAGTGTTAATTTTGAATGGTTGGAGAGCGACCCTAGACCAGTTCGACCAGATTTAAAACAACTAGCTTTCTGGCGGGATCCACGCCGATTCTATCATAGCTGGTGCGTCCTCGAAGGAATTTTAGGGGTGCGACATAAGGCCAATTTTGATTTCTATGTCTGTGTAACAACATCATTACCACCCCTTGAGGAATGGGGAGAAGAAGTTGAGCAACATGTCTCAACAAAGCTTGGGATGCGTCAGATGGTTGATCGTCATAGAGAAACCGAGCTGGCTCGATGGGAGGAATCGCTCGAGTTTTACAAGAATAATCTCGGTATGAACATCCCTAAGCATGGCTTTCTGAGGGACGAGGAAAGCTATAAGGAATTGGAGAGAAATCCTTCAATCGCTATTGGCATGTGGATCTTTACTGGGAAGGCGTTTGGGCAGGTCAATGGAGAGAATATCTGTGACGTATACGGGAGGTTTAAAGAGCATTTTGAGATGTCAGAAGTCCCTGGGCTTGCAGTGTTTGACATTTGAGTTTTCATCCGTGTACTACAGCGAGCTATTTAGAATCAGGGATACTATGTCCTGATGAGTTCAGATGCCCATTCTTCGTCCCCTAAGCATTTAAAGTTTATTCTTTCTTTAGACGTTCAAGCGACTGGAGTTGGCCTCAAGACTTTCTTCATCCTGTCAAGTGCCTCCACCATAACTTCCCGCTTCACAGCAAATGTCAATCTTGCCCATCCAAATTCGCCGTAAGAGCCTAAATACCCCCCTCCTGGCGACATCAAAACTCCTTCGTCCCTCAACTTTACCAAGACTGCCATCTCGTCTTGTGAGTTCTGTGAAATCATGTGTGTTAGTTAATTTATCTGATGAAAGTCATTCAAGGAAATAGAACTTTGTTCCCTTGAAGGAAGGTGTGGAGAAGGCTTGCTTCTGTACGGGACTCCTTGTGAGAAGGGAGAATGAGATAGTCAATCATTTACCTTTGCATCTGCTGCTATTCTAACAAAGATCATAATTCCTACTTTTACAGGAACGTAATCTATGTTCCAATCTTTCAAAGTAGATGTCAATAAGTCATATGAATCTCTTAATCCTTCCTTATTAGCTTCTACAAGAGCCGGAAGTTGCGGTGACGTAAGAATCGCGGTCATACACAAGCTGCTTGGCGTTGAAACTTGCCAGACATTCGAATATGATATTCCATAAAGTAAAGGCTTATTCGCTTGTGATACGATACATCCCTGATCACTATAAGCCAGTTGTCTCAATCTCATTATTACATGAAGGGTAGAAAGTATTTGACTCACCACTCTCATACCAGCACAACCGAAATCTTTACTTGGACTCCACATAACATGGACTCTACTCCGATCGATTCCCTTTCCTTCCTCTACCAAGCTTAAAGCAGAGGTAAAGGGCTTCTCGGGACCTGTATTAAATGCTGAGAGAGCACCAATTTCGTCGGATATGTAATGAATTTGTTTTTCATGACAGAAGTCCATCAGTTTGCGAAGAGTCTCTGGGGCATAAATGTTATCTCCAGGGTTGTGAGGGTTACACATTAAAAGAGCTTTGATACGGGACTGAGTGGGACATGCGTTGTAGGTGGTGATTAGACGATCGACAGAGTCCGAATCCACGATGTTGCGGAAGTTTGGTGAAGGTATGGTGAGAATGGTGGCGGGTGCATGGAGACTGGTGAAAATATCGAAAGTTCCTGTAATGAAGAGTTATAAGATCAGTAGGGCGATTTCTCGAGAGTTAAATGTACGAGACGGTCAATGACTCAAATTGAGAAAGTAGATTTATAGTCATTTGGAACGCGGGCACTAACGGGCAACTGGAGCAAACGCCAATACAATGTCTCCCTCATCACAAATAGAGTACATCAGTGAATCAAGAACACTTGCGCAACCACTACCCGTCGAGATGTGATCTTCTTCTACCTTTAATGAAGGGTTGAAATATGTATTGAAGAATGAAGCGAATCCTTTTCGCATTGCTGCTTCGCCGCCAAGACCTGTAGGGTAGAGGAAACTCTGACACATATTAGCATGAGTGTTGATAAAAGCGTCTGTAGAAAATTCCATACATCTTCGCTCAGACTTTCATTCAAAGCATCTTTACATATGCTCAGCAGTTGAGGTCTTAGTAAACGATTCTCGGCTTGCTCTAGACGTATTATATCTGGCGGTGCAACATATGATAAAAATCCCAGTGGCGCCAATTTGGGAAGCTTGTTGGCCATGTGAGTGGAGAGACCATGCTCTAGATACTCTGAGGTTGAACTCATGACGTGTTAATAATCTATTGAATGGAAAAGATTCCGGCCATTAAGAGGAGAAAAGATGAGCAGTTCTGCGCACACTTGCGATGCCTTTATAGATAGATATCAATTCCCAACTGTTGGTTAAGTTATCTTTATCAAAGAATAGTTAGTATACATGCTCGTACATATGATCCAATCTTTAATCGTAAGCCGACGTCTTACTTGCATGTACCCCTGCCAAAACATCCCACTATACATGTAGATAAACTAAAAGCTTGTCAAGCTTATGCTGCTTTCGTCTACGTACTTTATATTACTCGTAATGGAAGATGCATTTTAAGTTCTCGATCTTAAGATGAATGTGGATCATACATGAATGGCTCTCCTTGCTCTCAATGGAAAATACTTTCTCCATGCGGCTTTACTCCTCACCCTTCCCGTTCAACCTCCTCTGCAAAATCTGCAACCAATTATCCATCAAGAGAGATCGTTGGCACTGCTTTCGATCAAGATAACTTCTTAAAGCACGCTATAGTGCTCATTGTTTGATAGTCAAGAGCTCTGTGGTCGGGATTCCTCTGGCAAACCCAATTCGAGTACGAAATTGGAAAGTTAGCAAAGGTTCAAAGACTAAGGATGATCACGACCATGAGTAATTTATCTTCACGAACAATGCATTACGACTCGGAAAATAAGATCAACACATTATTGCAAGACGGACTGCCGTCTTGTTGAACCGTGGCCCAAACTATTGAAGACCTTGTGCCTATAGTCCGAGTCAACCAACGAGCTTGATACTGCGGTGTGTTCAGACTCTCAACTATGAACGAAGGGAACTTAATACTCCCTATTTACAATACAATTTCCATCTTCATAATGACACACTTGAGAACTTTGATTCTTGCTAGGAGAGTTCTTGACTTCAAGATCACGTTCCAAAGTGCAGATGTCTCAGACCTATCATTGGGCCCTACCCGTTCGATCTTAATCAACATCGAGGTGTGGAATTACCAGAGGACTGGAAGATCTCAGAGGACTGGAAGATCTCAGAGGACAAGTCTTATATGTAGTATACAACGGGATTTTTCTTGATTTCGAGATGTCTTCAATTTGCTCCTTTGCGTTGCAATTCGGCAAATTGACAAGTGGTTTGCGTTTGAGGAGATGCGGGGTTGATAAGCTCAATCTCATTCCTCATATATATTCGTGAAATTACCACTTATTAATCTCTCTCCAAATTTCCATCTACATTTATTCCTCAAAAACATGGTACCTACCTAAGGGAAACGCTCAATTGTTGAAGATATAATATGATTTATTGAGGTAACTTATGACTTTGGCCTGTGACTTTTCTTGTTGAATGCGGGAATGCGCCAGAACATGTGGCCTGGTGACGTCGGTAACCTTAACTTAAGGCCAAGATTCTTGATTCACGTTGTTGCATTCTTGACCCTGAGATCCATCAACATCAACATCAACATCAAAGCAAAGCAAAGCACGAACTCACTATTTGAATGGTCATGATTTGATTCATACCTGAACTCTACATAAACAGATATGGCAAGTCCTTCAGAGATGAAGGCATTAAGTTTGTATTTTTTGACCTTCAATTGTGGTCTCACTCTTATCGATACTGATGCGTTTGCCTCTCAACTCTTTAATGGCCTCTCATCTCCTAACTTACCAGACCTACTCGTTCTCTCCTTACAAGAAATTGCGCCAATACCATATTCTCTCATAGGTGGATCCTTTCTGGTACCATACTTCAATCGATTCCACGATGCGGTCGGAAAAGCTTCAAAGAAATTATCAAACGATGGGTCGGCATATACTTCGATAGCAGCACGGAATGTTGGCTTGACGGGTATTATGATATTTGCAAGGGATCCAACACTTATACAAGATCTAGAAGCTGGTGAAATTGGAGTAGGAGCTTGGTCAATGGGAAATAAAGGAGCAGTTGGAATAAGATTCACATACGGAAGTGGAAATACCTCAACAGAGTTGACATTCGTCGCGGCACATCTTGCTGCTATGGAAGAAGAACTGCAAAGACGAAACCAAGACTGGAAAGATATTGTCCGCGGATTGGTATTTTCTTCGACAACCTCAAATTATTCCACAACTTTACCTCGAGGTGATGAAGATAGACCGTTGTTATCCATTTCACCGCAAGATGGTTCGATCTTCAAAGCAACATCCCATCTATTTTTTGGCGGCGACTTAAATTATCGAACCTCCTTACTTTCCCCAGCGCCAAATGATCACATCGACACGTTCCCACAACCGGAAGATTCTACTTCCTCTTCCAATCATTATTCAACCCTATTCAAAAACGATCAACTCAACCAAGAAAGATTGGCTGGTCGAACTTGTCATGGGCTTATCGAAGCTCCAATATCATTCCCACCTACATATAAATACAAGTCCGAAGGACCTTTCATGACATCCGATGATGAATTGAACAAATGGCCTTGGGCAAAGCATAGATGGCCAAGTTGGTGTGATAGGATCCTTTATCTTGATATGCCATCTTGGGTACAGAAGAGCAATCCAGAAGCCAAAATTGTTCCAAACAAATATTCCGCATTACCTCTTCTCCCAACTTCGGACCATAGAGCTGTAGCTTTAGATGTAACGATTCCTTTGTTACCTATTCCCGAACCTGAAGAGGAGGAGGGTGTGAATGATCCTCGGGTCAAAATGCCATTTGATATCGATATTGACTGGAAGAAGAAGAGGGAAAGAGCTAGAACGCTGGAATTGGTTGTGGGGTATACAATGTACTTTACAGGTACAAGGGAGGGAGCTGCTCTGTTCGTTGCAATGGTTGTTGGTGGAGTGGGGGCTATATTTGTTTTCAAGTCGTTGTTTAGTGCTTGAAGATCAACCTACATTGGGATATAATTTCTGAGGCGGTGGCATTCTCGGGCATATCAAAGACAACAAGGCTTCGGTCGTCTACAATGATGGTAAGTAATCATGAATATTTATAAGATTAAACCACTCGAAATCTCCCTCGCAAAATTCAGTTTCACACATTCCTTCTCAATCTCATCTGCAGATACCGCGTCTAATTTGCCAATCGGATTCTTGAGAGGCACTGCAAGCAAATTTCAAAAAACTTGCTACGAAAGCATGAGCTCCAATGAGATTGCTCCAGTGAGCCATTTTGATCCGTTTTCGATGCCACAAGCAACAGGCCGGAAATGAAGTAGTCGTAATCCCTCAATCCCCTCTTTCTCATCTCCTCTAGATTCAACAATCTTCATTCTATGTATCTTGACACCCCATTAACAAAATGACAAACGGCAGCTAATTCTAATTCCAAACACTGTTTCGACCATATATATATTCCGTGGGTTAGAGTCTGATGTTGCTTAGGAGCAACGCAGAGATTCGGATCGAGTGGCATCTCTCATGTTAAGGCGTAAGTCTAACCTATACTCTCAGGGGCCTAGGTGTCACGACTCATATGACTCGCACGTAGCTTTCATCGTCCGCTGTCACATATTGGACAAGGAAGACATAATACAATATACTGTGTTATTCCATTCTCATGTAGCTGTCAATCGTTGCCATTCGATTGGCTTCTCATTGGAAGCTAAGTATCGCTTTTGAGTCAAAGACGTTTCGGCCACAGATGATATTAATAACATTCTCATCTCGCATCTTTATATATCACTAGACGAGCACTTCCACTATATCAAAAGAACTAATCAATGTGCTACGTGGGGTATGACTGATCCCAAATTTACTATTTTTACGTATCTTGCTAGCGTCAAATCACCGAAAGCACCGAAAGTAACTAATGATTCGACACTGGCACTATGAACCCTGGTCGATGACTTGCTATTAGATCAATTCAACACTGCACTTAGAAGCCATCTTGCGCGTCAACTTGGTTTGACATCACACTGCATAGGACTATTGACGTTAATGCCAGATATTGTTCAGACAAGTAAGGGTCTTTGCTACCGAAAATGACTACCAACGAAGCGAAAAACCCACACAGGCTTCTCCACGGGCGCTGCGTGCAAGAGTGGTGCCCGTCATCGCTTGAAGCGCATTGCCCACAATGGTCAAATACCCGATCCCGGATATTTTGTCCGGTGCTGGCTTTAGTTTTTGGAACGAGAGTCACGAGATGGAAAATAAATTCGTCTACGCGGACGCTAGATTGGGCCAACGCCATCTAGTGGGGGGTTAATCCCCGAATGCGAAAGCGGCCAGTCCTCTTCTCGTTGTTGAAATCTTATCTGATTGATCTGATGATCATGTTAGAGATAATAGTTGATACCCAATAAAGCATTGCCCTCTTTTCAATTCTCAATGGTACCTTGTTATCTGATCAATCTGATTATGTACATAGGTGAGCTCGAGGCGTAATGACTTACTCAGTCCTGACAGTACTCCACCCGCACTCGCTTGTCTTCTCTCCAAAATAGTCAAGTGTGATACATCCCATGTGAACGATCCGTTCCACGAAAATTTTGCACTCCACATAGCTTCCGAATTTCCGCTTTTAGGATTTTGATGATGACAATGTGGTGCCAGTCATACTATACACGATGGCTTACGATATTATAGTAACCACCTCATATGTATATCAGATGAGTGAGAACTTTATCTCCTTGGTCATGAATCATGATAAAGATGTAGATCAGATTAGATAAATATCAAAAAGCTTAAACTTTTGGTTTGGTCAATCTGATTAGATTATCATAATGTTCGCTACTCTTTAGTACCACGGTAGCGAAATCGAGACCGGCTTCGATATCAAACATACATTCCGATTTCACCCATGGAAGTGGTGGTGGCGAGCGGTAATGTAACGCCATTCATATAATTGCTGCCTACTTGAGGAAAAGCCGGTCTAAGTTTTAATAAGTAGGTGAGTCGGGAAATTTACTTCCTACCATTCATCCCTGGTTATCGATGAAAATTTTGATCAGATTAGATAAAAGCTAGCTCGATTCTCCCCACTTGATCCCACTCGACCCCACTTAGCCACCTTTAACCAGCTAATCAACTCTCTCCGGTAATAGCTAACATAGTCGACCCATTCAAATTTATGCCCACCTTGTTCATGGACCCATCGACATTCGGCAATATGTCCACTCTTAGAAGAAAGGTGTGTTTGAAAACGTTTTCTGATTGATTGATGTGCGTGAATACGCAGCTCCAAGCTCATTCAAGCGGCTTCACACCTGCCTGCCTACCTAAGCTTATGAGTATCATTTCATGAATCTTCCTATTACTCGCGTCCTAATCCACGCCGAATCTCGTTGACAATCACTAACTTGTGGGACTTTATGGGATGTTTCTTGGCTGTCCCAAGCACACGGCAGCATGCGAAATTTTCAAACCTTGTCCTAGCTGCAGCTATAGATGAATGGGCACATGTGGATGTGAATAGCCGTGTCAACAGGTGAGCCGAGATTTTAAGTATTAGTAGTGGCCGCCTCCCACGATACACCCATTGCTCTGTACTACCTATACCATTTCAATTCTTTGTGGACGTCCTTCCATCGATTTTTGAAATACTCGCGGAATCGACAAACCGCAATCATGGGGGCATTATCAAAATTCAGACCTGGATTTCGTCGAAAGGCTACCGAGGATATAATCAATGAAAGTTCAGAAGTAGCTATGGCTGATATGCCATCTTCAAACGAAAAAAATCCTGCGAAGCCCGCAGTCACTGGTGTCGACGATACTATCTCTCCAAGCAGCGCCAATGCCGTACCAATCTCAGAGCAAGCCGAAAAAGATGTTCTACCAACCGAAACTGCGCAACGTGGTGTTCAAGAAGTCGAAGCGGTGGCTTTAACATGGACCAAACCAATGCTCATCGCCGTTTTCTTAAAGTATGTGAACGCACTTGTTATTCCCATGCCCATGTATGGAAGCTAAACTATTCAATGACAGCATGTGGTTACTTTACTTTGTTAATGCCATGCAATCTTCAATTTGTTACAATCTTATTCCGTTCGCCACGAGTGCTTTCGAATCGCATTCTTTGATTACCGTTATTAATATCGTTGCGAACGCTATGACAGCTGCCATCTACATTCCACTTGCAAAGATGTTGGATCTTTGGGGTCGTGCTGAAGGATTCCTGCTCATGGTATTATTTTCTACCATTGGATTGATCATGATGGCGGCTTGCAATGGTATCGCTACCTTCTGTGCTGCACAGGTATAATTTCACTATACCATATTTTTTTACCTTCAGTACACTAATACTTGTTATCTAGGTCTTTTACTCCATTGGATTCGGTGGTTTGATCTACAGTATTGATGTCATTACTGCTGATGTTTCGAAATTAAAGAATCGAGGTCTTGCATACGCCTTCACTTCTTCACCATACATCATTACAGCATTTGCTGGACCAAAGGTCTCTGATGATTACTACTATAATATCAGCTGGAGATGGGGATTTGGTACCTTTGCTATCATCTTGCCATTTGTAGCAGCACCATTATACTTTATCTTGAAGACAAATCTCAAAAAGGCAAAGAACACAGGTGTTTTGATTAGAGAGAGCAGTGGCCGAACACTTACAGAAAACATCTGGCATTACTTTGTGGAGTTTGATGGTAAGTCATGCTTTTCCAAAGTAGATATACATTTTGCATTTTTCTGACCATTGACTAGCTTTTGGTGTTGTTCTCTTTGCTGGAGGTTTCACCGTGTTTTTGCTGCCATTTACACTTGCTGACACTGCACCAAATGGTTGGCAAACGGGTTATATCATTGCAATGATTGTTGTTGGATTTGCGGTCCTTGTTATCTTTGCGCTTTACGAAACCTACTTTGCTAGGACGCCTTTCTTGGACATTAACCTTTTAGCAAACCGAACTGTTATTGGCGCTTGTCTGCTTGATTTGACTTATCAAATCTCTTACTACTGCTGGAACAGTTACTTCACATCTTTCCTACAAGTTGTCAACAACTTGACCATAGCAGAGGCTGGTTATGTGAGCGACACTTTTGATGTTGTTTCTGGTATCCTCCTTCTCGGAGTCGGTGTGTTGATTCGCAAGACCGGATACTTCAAGTGGCTTTTGTATATTGCGGTTCCTCTTTACGTCTTCGCTCAAGGTCTCATGATTTACTTCCGTCAACCCAACCAAAGCATCGGTTACATCGTCATGTGTCAAATTTTCATCTCTATTGGTGGAAGTGTTTTCATCATCGTCGAACAACTCGCTGTTCTCGCCGCTTCTGACCATCAACACGTCGCTGCCATTCTCGCGTTGCTTTATGTTGTTGGAAATATCGGTGGTGCCATTGGAAACGCCATTTGTGGTGCTATCTGGACCAACACATTCCCACAAGCTTTGGAGAGATATCTTCCTGAATCGGCTATGGCAGATTTTGATAACATTTATGGTGATCTCTCCACTCAACTCACTTATCCATTGGGAAGCGAAACCAGAATCGCTATTCAACAAGCTTATGGATATGCACAAGAGAGAATGCTTATTGCAGGAACTGTTATTATCGCCTTGGCATTTGCCTGGGTTATGATGATTAAGAATATCAATGTCGCCCAAAAGACACAAGTCAAGGGTACAGTATTCTAAAGTATGGAAAATAGTTTGGATTTTTACAGACGTATATTATCAATGCCATGTGGTAATTCACTAGATTTACCGCTTTTCTCTTGACCCTTGGCAGGTCTTCGTAATTAACATGTCATAATATCAAAAGTTTTTGGATACCCTGCAAATTATGCCACCTTATCGTTCCTGGTGATCCTTGTTCGTGCAGGCCGACATTGATTTGATATTGTATTCAGGCGGGAAAAATCATACATGCATCATATCCAACACATGCCGACCCATAATTGTAAACGGTTTTGCTTCTCTTCCGAATTCAAGAAAATGTGATATTCTGGTTAGATAGTCTTCCTTCTTTTGATAGTTTTTGTTGACGCCTCAAACTACCATTCTCATCAACCCGGAATGTCACTGGCAGTTATCCATTACGTCTCATAGCGGGGGCCCAATACACCAACCCACATCAACCCTGGTAATCACGAATATTGATCAGATTTTAACTTCTCCATCAGTGCATAGAGCAAGCGAAGTCTGTCTAGCGTCATCTGATTAGATTAAATCACATGTAATCAATCTTATCTGATCCGCTTAAATAAGCATTTTCCCTCAATCCTTGATTTTTTGAGGGTTTTTTGCTAGGAAGACCTATCTGCTAAATACTATCTGCGCGATCGAAGTGATTTTATCTGTATTCCTGGTGTTTCCTCGTAGTATACGAAATAATATTCGATCTCGGAATATTGTTTGAGCGTGCTGTGCTGTGCTGTTGGTGCTTTAAAATCAATGACTAGAGCACCCGATCCGCCAGTATTGCACAATCGAAATCCTTGTTGCGGTGAACACGGACGTTTCGAGTCGTGTCTGTGAAAATTGCATCCCACTTTTTGTTTCGAGAACTCAATCACATTACTTGGCTAGTAAGACATATCTACATCAACGTGGTCGCCGATCTTGATTTACTGCCACCGAATATTTACGATTGAGTATTTTTTTCGAAGCTCATTCTATTCTTCCTAAACTTACACACAATCCTCTTCAATAATCTCACCTAAATATCTCTCGAAATGGCTTCCAAATTCTGGCCTAAAGGTGGTCTTCCAGGTATTCTACATCATTATGTGAGCATTATTGTCTGTAAATGAAGGACAATCCAATTAACAACCCCCATAGACCGAAACCCTCACCACATTCGAATACACATCCGGCACCATCGCCAAACCCCATAGTCTTCTCTTCATCGGAGGCTTAGGAGATGGTCTCGCAACCACCTCTTTCATGGCCGATATAGCCAAAGCTCTCCAACCCACCCCCTGGTCCCTCTTCACCCTCAATCTCTCATCATCATACGCCCAATGGGGAACTTCTCACCTCGACCGTGATTCCGACGAAATAGCTGAATGTCTCCGCTACATTCAAGCCTACAAGCAGTCTAAATTCCCCCACAGCAAAACCATTCTCATGGGTCATTCAACCGGCTCCCAAGTCGTGCTTCATTATCTACACAAACCCAATCCCCACACTACCACTCCCAAATTTGATCCCCATCTCAAACACGTGAAGCGTCCCGTTCTCGACGGTGCAATCATGCAAGCACCGATTTCCGATCGCGAGGCCATTCAATCGGTCCTCCAAGATGGGCTTGGCAAACGTCCCGCCAGCGAATGTCAAGCAGCATTTCGACAAATCCAAGAAATTGCAAAAGATGCCGCGAAACGTGATCAATCGATTGATATTCTTCTCCCCATGGCACTGACCTCGCAAATCGGCTACGGCACTACACCGATCAGCTGTCGACGATTTATGAGTCTGGCTAGTCCTAAGAGTCCGCAACAACCGGAGGAAGATGATTTGTTCAGCTCGGATCTGAGTGATGAGCAATTATCGAAAACGTTTGGAATGATTAAAGAGAGAGGGTTATTGCGAGATCAATTGGTTATCTTTTACTCGGGGGCTGATCAGGCGGTGCCGGACTGGGTGGATAAGGAGGGATTGTTGAAGAGGTGGAAGAATGCGGCGGATCATGGAGGAAAAGAGAAGGTCTGGGATGATGAATTCACGGCGATTATTCCGGGAGCCAGTCATGCGTTGAGTAATGATGATCAGGCGCCTGCGAGAGCATTTTTGTGTAAAAGATTGATGGGTTATGTTCAAAGGATAGAGCAGAAGTGAGGGGTTGGGGAGATCGATGGATGTGAATTAATGCGATGCATGTTTGTTGAATGCTATGGTTTGTTCATGTAAAATACAGCTATATGGATGATTTTCCGTCTCTGCATGTCCTTTGGGATTTTGAGGTTGTATTTTGAATATTGTGACTGATATGATGTGTATAAGAAAATGTTTTGCTTTCAGGGTAACGAAGGAAAGGCGAATGTCGATGCCAAGTGAAATTGATGAATTAAGATTCTGAAAAGGTTGATAGGATTCAGCACTCTTGGAGCAAAGACGATGTCCTACCAGAGCAGTGTCACAAATGAGAGGAGTGAGTATCGGCTGAGAGATTTCAATATTCCGAGGGTAGAAATGAGGATGGACTTGTCGATTTCCCATCGATTTTCCAAATGCTGAGAATAGATACGACAGGGGAAGAATGCAAATGCTTGGTAATATTATATGACCATTCTTAAACCTCATCCATTTGAATAATCTCGTTCTCGTCTCGAGTTGTGTGTAAAACATTGCTTGTTATCCCGTCTCATATTTGTGCTGGTATCATTCGATAAAGAAATGGCTCTCCATCCTTCATATCGAGATCAAGGCTATCTTCCTGCAAAATGGAGCAAATAAACTCATTGAATTACTAAGCTTTTTCTCACAGGGGCATTCTATATCTCAAAATCAAGCTATCAAGATGAACATCTCAACCGTATGTCCTCCAAAGATCGGGGAATTCACATTATAAATTCCCTTTTTATTGAAATCGCTATGTAATCAATGGAACACATGTGTGCAGGGCAAGGTAAATAAAACAAATTTAATTGTGCAGTCATGGATATCTACGTATCTAATAAAACTCGCAAAGCTCCCTCCGTGTATTGGAAATGCCTTGAAGCAATAATGAAAATCCTTTGTTTAACCTCTGAAACCCTAGAGAACATTCCCAATGACTAAAATCCAACGCAATCATTGCGCAAGTACTCTCAAGCTAGCCTTTGATACCTCCGAGATCTACTTATTCCTTATCGTTTGTATCATGCTCGTCACTTTTCTCCAATTGCCCCAATCGACCCTGCTTCTGGCTCCGGCGAACCGTATCAGCACGAGGAACTGAAGCTGCAAGACGGAATCCTGGAGCATTATCCCCAGTATACCGTTGATAACTATGAGCATCAGAACCAACGTGCTGAAAACTACGACGACTATCCGGATGTCCAAATCTCCTGGTAGGAGTTCCATGTAAAGTATGCATCTCTTGACGATGAAACATGGTCATGGTCACCGCGGCATCCAACTCCGTATTCGGGCGCGGAACAGAGGTCCTACGGTTATATCCGGAATAATCTTGTTCGACGAAAAGACTATTTTCGTCGTCTTCGGGAGTGGGATCGCGGATCATGATGGGTTGGCGTCGTTGGAGAGCTTTTGATGGGGTTGTAGAAGTGGGTCTCATGAGAGTCTCTGGGTCACGGGTCTGAAGGGGAGTTTGAGCTTCGGGACGTCTGGAATGGCGTTGGGGGTGATGTGCTGCCGGACGTTCAGTGTGGGCTTGACGGTATGTATCAGGAGCTCTGTATGGGTGAAAATGGTGATTTGCTGATGAGCCGGAGTTTATTGGAGGGTCAGGAAGTCGTCTCTGACCCATGCTTGGACCTTCAAATCGTGCTGAGCGACTTGTAGGAGCGGGGTAGCCCTTCATAAAAGAATGGTTCGAAGTGTAACATGACGATTCTGAGCTATTTCGGCGGGAAACAACTTCTTTTTGCTGCTCTGTAGGGCCTATTGTGCGTTGACTGGACTGTTCTGCAACTACTAGTAGAGGTGAAGTTGCACCAACCCTCTGCTTAGTTTTCTTGACTCGAGATGCTCTCGGTTGTCGACCAGCACCATGCCGAGCAGCTTTCGCACTTGCCGCAAGTATCCTAGCGCGATCCTCGCCCCAATCTTTCTTGACAGTCTGGTACCAGTGCTCATACAACATATTTCCAGTATATTGTCTACGAGCTAATTTTCTTTCATCCATATCATGCTGCATCATGTCTGCGAGTTCTACCCATGACATACCTTTGTTGGGGTTGTAAGCGCCATCTTTACCGTTGAAGCGGGACTTGGTCATGACTTCGTGGACGAAATATTCCTGTTCCTGTGGACTCCAAAATTTACCGCCCATCTTGGAGTAATGCTGAGCTGGATAGGGGTAGATGCTGTGGAATGTGAGGATGATAGCCGAGGTTTATTGTGGAGTTGTGTCGTGTTGATAGAATGTTAAGAGGAGTGAGAGTAGCGGGAAGGTTCAAAGAAGCTCGACTTATGTCAAAACATCCTATTCAAGGTAATAAAAGGTTGAATTATGAATCAGAGGTAGTTCCAGCGTCGTTTTAGTTGTTTACCTAGGAGCAAGCGTGGGGGCGTGATCACAGTATTGAGTAATTTTTTACTTCAGAGGCTATCTTAACTTTTCGACCTTGAGGAGATAAAGAGGGCTTTGATAGAGATAGCAGCGTGTTTTTGAGAGGTCAATAGAAGAAACTTGGCCTTTCAAGTCCGAAAAGGAAAAGATCTGGGAAGTTTCGTTGAGATTGACGAGCGGATGATCGAAAGACAGCACTATCTCCTAGCTTGGAGTGAAATATTGTCGTAGATCGGAGACGAAATAGGTCTAAAAATCATATGAAGCCATGTTAGCAAGATATCATCGCTATTCCAAGGATGAATCATCATAAAAAGAAATGAAGGGGGTGAGTGAGTAGGTGGATGAAATTCCATACATTTTATACCATAAAGTTCGAGTTTAGGCAGTTCCAAAGATAATTCTGGTGTAAAACAATGTATACTGGCAGAAAATCAACCATACACGATTCTTGGATCGAATTCAACCACAGTAGTTCGATTCTTCGACGAAATGGCACGTTGGAGACGACAAAATGAATTATATTGGGTGACTTAGTATTGAAAGATGAAGTCAATAGATCCCAGGAAGCTTTCCGATGCTAATACACAATCAAAAGGCGTGGAGTAATTGTTAAGAACGTTGAAAGTAGGTTGTAATGAGAGAGTCAAAAGGATGATGGATTAAAGTGTGGGAGAGAAGGCAAGGTGCGATACTTAAAGGGAGTTAGGGGCCAGTCATGAAGTGGTATGTTATGTTGAAAGTGAATTAGACTCTTCATCAGTCATAACATATTGGATGATTTTTCATATTCTTTTTGGGTTTTGAGATATAAATTATGTTACTTAGTATTCACAAGCGAGAAAACAGAAGTGTAGCCTTGGGAGGTTTCTATCGAATCGCGGCGCAAGAATGACAGTTTCGAGGGGAAATCACAGATAATTCAATTCAAAATTTTAATAGCATCACACTTTGAAGATGTATTGCCGGCAGCTCGAAGGTCAATTAGAGTTGTCACTTGACTACTTGAAGCCCGAAGCAAGAATGAATTTTACCAAATGGAAGAGTACTGACTGAAAGTTTATCGCAGCATGAGAGCAGATGAAGCTTTCTCGCTGCTGGTAATGCACAGCAAGCAAAATGAAAAGCAGAAGCTCATCGACACGCCTCCCCGTACAAGTAGAAAGGATGAGACGGTGAGGCTGCAACTCCGTGGATAGGCATTCAAGAACAAGGCGATAACTTCAATGTTGCAGAATATGATTAGGATTGTAGATGTGCAACACACCGCTCGGGACCTAAGCAGATTTCTAGATCGGTAGAAAGTCAGAAAGTAAGCCACTTAGCTTGGGTTCATAATGGAGAGCTGGAACTACAACATTGGCGACATTGTACCTGGAACCAAAAAGGCACACTAGACTCTAGGCCACATAGCCACAGCCAATATAGGGCATTTCTACCTGGTCTAGCGATTTGTTAAGTGCAATCGACGCTACTTTATCACTTCATCTCTTGCCATACCGCGGAGAATAGAAACCCCATGTCGAGAATTGTATGCAGTGAGATTTAGGGATTTCGATGCGTTGCTCGAAGGCAGTCTCGCATGGGACTTAATATCCTTATTTAAATATTGTTGCTTCCTAGATCATGATGATCATGGGGCATATTATAAAGTTTTCATCAAATCATTAACGGCTTTCGCAGCAAACCTCTTCCTCTCAGCTTCTGGCAAATCCGCACCCATATCTGTTTACGTCAGTATGTAAATCTCCCAGTAAGTAGACCTCTCTTACCTTTGACTGCTTGCATTCTCAACATTAAAGCTTCGAGCTGCTCTACTCCATCCTCATTCTCGACTTCTTCTTCAGGGTTCGTCTTTTCGGAAGACTTGCCATAGATTGCTTGCTTCATACCGAACATTTCCATTTCCAACTCAGCGGCTTCGATTCCGAATCCGATGCTTTTATTATCATCGCCATCATCCTCGAAGTCTCCGAGGTCAATACCTTCCCCATCATCATCGCCGCCTTCCCATTCATTGGCTTCTAAAGCTTCCTTCAACCTTTCGAGACCCATAGGTTCTACAGGTGTCAATAATAAAACACTAAACTTCATTGGAATTGTTACTTTACCTGAGTATTCATTTCGACCTTTGCTTTCAAAATCAATAAATTCAAAGCCATGCTCTTGGCACAATTCTTCCCACTCGTCGAAGCTTTTCTCCAGGTATGGAGTCGTAGACTGTGGCATAGCCACGGCCAAACAAACGCCATCCCAAGTATACCCACAACCCTCCTTGACAACCTCGGCCACACTCTCCAAAAGAACCTTAAAAGCTTGTAACTCAGCTTCATCGACAGGCTTTCGGAAACACACAATAAAGGCACCAAGAACCGTCAGAACTTCTCGAGCTTCTGGTGCCAAAAATTCCTTACACCATATTTCTGGCTCATGTATCTCATCAAGCCATATTGGAACACTTGCGGTATAGTAATTAGTTTTGATAGACCAGTCATGGGTTACACCTGCGATGGAGTCCCCTGTGAGAGCAGGCGCAGAACCCGTGAGACCTGGAAAGGTAAGTCAATGTCTAAATCGTGTTTATAAGTATAAGTGGTGTTCAAACCTTTCAATAAGTCTACAAGACCAGAATCTGGTCTACTAACAGCTAGAATACGCCGTGGATGTGAAATTTCCATAGCCATGATTGATTGTATGTATTGATCAGTCTAGGTCGGGAACACCAGCGAAAACAGTATGTTTGATATCATGTCGGAAGTTTCTTTGCCCGATCCGAAATTTAAAGTAGCATTATATCATTGGCTTATTTTCTTTGACACCTGAACAAGTTCATTGGAATATACCTAAATAGGGAGAGATATAGCAATTATCTTTAGGATATTGGATACAAGCTCCTAATTGCTCTGCTCTAACTCAAATGCCAGTAAGGAAAAGCCCTCCCCATGTATGCTTGTGCGCTGGGCCATCCTCAATATTCGAGCCTTCGTAGCTCTCCTCTGCCCAGACTAGCTTTGCAATTTATCATAAGTTTTCCTCAAACGCCGACATTTGAAAAAATTATCCTTTCAACCACATATAATATGAGTCTCTCAACCTCTTGGTGCTCCTCGTCCACTTGCTCTCGCCCTGCTAACTGTAGCCCTTCCTCTTGCCAATCCGACACCTCTACCCCTAGTATTTCTGCTCCTGAACATAGGCGCGTTCCTACAACAACTTACATTAGCCTTGTCCACAATGATAAATACCGCTTCGGACATGTGTATACTCGCTCCGGAGCTTCATCTTGGCTTCACTGACCTTAACATATCTGGAACAATAAAGAATCTCACGTGGGAGCCTCTAATGTATACCTGGTCCAAATGACTGACACGACCATCGCGCGCTGTGACAGTAATATCCTTAAGTTGAACGTTCATGTTGTCTTCCGCTACGACAATCTCAAATTAGCATGTCCCTTTCTCCTCTTGCGATTTGCGAGCTTGAAAAACGTAATAGGTAATCGTACCTTCCAAAAGCTTTCCACGGTAGACCTGACCGGTCGTGATCTCGAGAGTTACGACATGACCCTAATAAACGATAACTGTCAGCAGAGAATATGGCAGATGTCAAATGAGAAGAGAAGTCCGCCGGGCCTTGGTACACTGGACCTTGGAGCCTGTAAGGAATGGAATGGACTAACTTGAGCCTCGTTCAAGAGCTTGATTGGTATTCCGATTGTGCTCGTCATGATTGCTAGAGATCGATTATATCGCAAGGAATTCAGTAGATAGAGATGAGGGTCTGGGATAAAGTCGTTGAAAGTCGGCGCGCGTGAATGACAATATCCGAGTGAAGCTTTGGATATCTCAGAATAATTTGACGCTAGTGATCTTGAAGCTTTCGGTAACTTCCGCTCACCATCTTCAAGCAATCCGCCTCAGAATTATTGATCCGATCCGAACATTGCAACCATTTCATATGAAATTACATCAATGGATATGAATACTCTTAACATATCAGCAACGGTGAATATATTTCGTCTTCTCGTAAGACCGAAATTGATTTTACCTCAAGCAACCGTTTCCACATTCAACCACCTGCCGATACCTCTCAATTCGGCTTTTGATAAACACAAGAATGCTGATATTAGAGCCGTAGTGTTGGACAAGGATAATTGCTTCGCATATCCTAAATCCAATGACATATACGAGCCTTACAATGTACGTTGAAGGGTATATTTTATGGTTTCTCAAACTCGTCGATCTACACTGAGCACGCTGGGTGGGGTGTTTGGTCTACCTGCATCTGCCTTTCTAATATTATCCTATCACTTCTGCATTCCTTTCTTTCCCAAATGAACTTGGATCATGACATCATCTTTCAATGTTAATTGGTTCTAGGAAACTTTCAAAAAACTTCGGGAAGCTTACCCAGGCAGGCGACTTCTGATTGTTTCTAATACAGCAGGTGCTGAATCTTTAGATCGTTCTGGCAAGCTTGCTGTCGAGGTTGAGAAGTCTACAGGCGTTACAGTCTTATCTCACGCTTCTAAGAAGCCCGGATGTGGTCCTGATATTATGGAATACTTTTCGAAGTATCCCGAGACCGGAGTCACCAGACCAGATCAGATAGCAGTTGTCGGGGATAGACTCACCACTGATGTTATGATGGCAAACCTCATGGGAAGTTATTCCGTATGGATCAAAGATGGAGTTGTACCAGTGGAGGAAACAAGTGTGGTAAGTATCATAGGTATCATTACGAATTTGATCTAATAGGTATCCTAGTTTGCAAGGTTAGAGCAGAAGTTCGCTGGATTTTTGATCCGACGCGGTTACGAGGCGCCAGAACCAGCAAGTCCATTCGAGAAGTAGACCTGCATCATTCATTACTCATCTGCAACGATGCATTGCTTTCTAATCAAAAGGAATCTTTACCTTACTCTGCCTTGACCTCCCCCTTCTCGCAAGTAAATGTGCAGAAGCTACCATTATAGTACACTAGTTGTGTTGATGGCACTCACACATGGGGGATCATGAGAAACAGTCAAGGGAGCAGCTGGTGGTTCAAGTTCATCAAGCAGAAGTGAGAAAAGGAGTAGTGATGCTCCTTTGACTAGAACTGCTAGTGGTAACCGGATACCTCCACAGCTTCGAAAGGCTTGATTTCTTGGACACATTGAATCAATTTGGCCAAGACTATATCAGACATGAATCATAAATTCAGCCTAAGCATACAGAGGCTTGTCAAGGTTGCCCAAATAATTTTCATTCTGGTGATGTGAAGAAAAAGGAGCCCGATTGGTATGAAATGGTGGGGAAGTCATTTGCCATCGTCTCAACAGACGGGACAAACACACCAGCAACTGTGAAACGTAGGCAGCTTGATTATGGTATATCTAAGAGAATGATACAAATTTCACTAAATCAACTTTAACCACCAAGTACAATACGAACCCAACATATTTCTCTTCTTTCACATCATTTTTTGTGCTCCACCCCTCATATCATACGCCTCTTGGTATTTTCCGCGCGATTGTCACTACATCGGCTTTTTTACAATATGTCCGAAGTTAAAACAGCTTTACAAAACATGAAGCGATATGTTTACTGAACAACCTATAGAAGATTGGTTGCGGTTGCTTGAGAACCCACATGCATCAATTAAAGTTTAGCTTTTACATCCCCATTATTACTGGAGAACTGGGAATCTGCGATCTCCCGTCATATGACTACATTACTTTCTAAAAACTTGTGACGAAGTTTGTAATTCTGCATACTGCAAGCCAATATTGACGCCGTTGTTAGATATCAGATAAGATTTCAAGTATGTACTTTGTTAGATCTTTCTCGTATACTAATCTTTCTTGATATTCTTAGCCTATCTGGGACATTGCATTCGTTTGAGAGGTTAAGTCTTTTCTCTTCGTCTTTTTTTCTCCCGAAAATCAAGCTAAATTAGAAATCTATAGTTTCTAAACGCTGAGAGCCATGCAGTTTGGCATACAATTGTATGGTTGCAAAGCCCAGATCATGTCACATTACCGCAACTGGCATAAAGATACGTCTATTAGAATACTGGCTAGCTGCTGTTCTTCCAACACTATTGTTTGTCATAAATGGCTACACTCGTGTGCGAGACCTTGAAAGAAGAACAGTTGTCCGACAATGACGTCTGAACAGAATACAAAGGTAGACGATGTTTCTGTTTAAGACTTTGTGCGGTACTTACGTGGCAATTCTACCGAGTCACTATGTTCCCAAACAGATGGAACACACTGAGCCTCGTTGTACATGTAATGGATGTTCCATAGTCACCGCTTGGCTAGAGAAATAGGCCCACAGTCTCTTCTTGGCCAGAAGATCTGAGAAACCTTATCTTTCTCGTTTCGACTTGGAGTTAACTCAAAACAACAAGTTCGTCTCGCTTTGTTCCCTATATTCGACTAATCGAAAGCGAGACAGGCCGCATTGAAAACATTATTGTGATAACGGTCGAGCCTCAACAAGTCCTTCTCGAAGTTTATGCGACACCGATTTGACAGTCGGGTGGAGGCAGTAGATCTTGTGGGGAGGGAACAATCTCATAATCTCCATTGGGAAGGCCAAGCATGGAACCGGGAGGGCCATGCAATGATTGTCGTCTGAACTTGGCAGATAGAATAGGGAATCCCAGCTTATGTTCTGCTAGTGGTGTTATGCATCAAAGAGGAACAAAAGAATATGACATAATATATTTGAGTAGTTGTGTGGTTATTTTTGGCGCAGTAGTAAGCTGATTAGCAGATAGTGTTGTGGATCTACAGATACTACCTACCACAAAGAATACCCAGGTAGATCTCGCGATTTTTCGGGCTGAAAATGCTTGAAAACGAAGGGACAATTGAGGAATTCAGGGCCGGCACAGCGGTGCCTCTTTCCAAATCATTTTTTGACTGTAAAAATCCCGGTGAGAGTGGCGTAGGTAGAAAAAGCCACCACCATGTCTTGCATAGGATATAGCCGTGCGCACCAGGGATGTTCACGGCGAGATAAATGGCCGCGATGGCCTCATAATTGTAAGGGTCTCGTGAAATATTATGGGGTCGGTTTACTCGACTTCTTCGGTTCTTCTCCGTTCAACTCGCAACAATGTCTTGTCCCCATCTCCTGTCAAAACTCAAAAGTATCACGATTGAGTTGTGCTTACGCGCAACACTGACAAAAGATCAACATCTGCTCTCGAGAGAAAATCGGAGAAACTTCTTAATAGAGCGGAACACGTGAGCCGCTCATCCCATGCTTCTGCATTATGCTTATGCTTATGCTCTGCGGTTTGACGTTTTAGGCCAATTTTCCGCACGAAAAATAGGCTAATGCCCTCCTACCCCTTTATGCATCCTTTTGGTGGGGGGAAGATAGCATCTTTATCCATCTCTGGTTAGCGTCGCACAGGTTCTGTCTTCAGAAACTTTCGGATGGAGCAATACGGATTCTTACGATCGTAAAACGGGCTTCCTTTACCTGACTGGCTTCAATCCTTTTGTTTCAGTGCGTGGAAGAGAAGAGTGATTTTTGTTGCTGATGATATTCTAATTGATTCTAGGTTTTACTGAACGAGCTATGCGCAGGCGAAGAAAGAGGCCAAAATTGATCACAAATGGATTTACAAGAATTGTAAGTATTGAACAATGATTTAGATATTGTTCAGTCATCATAGTATTTAAACTTTTAATTCTCTGAACGGAAGTGTAGCAATTGAATTGTTGAAGGGTTTCGCCAGTGGTCAATTCTGGTCTGTTTTTTCTCCTACGATTAGACGGGGTTGCCGATTTATACAGTAGCTATATATTATCTCATCGTCAAGGGCAGCGATTGATAATGTCGTATCGATCTTACTTACAAAAAACCATTTTTTTGATCGATATGTACCAAAATGCAAAGATACGAGAGAGCGATCGAGTAGCTTCGCAGATTGTAGACAAGACAAGACAAGGCTACCCCAATTTATTGCTTTGGGGGTTTGAATTTTTATGGATTGATTCGTCGGTTTATACAATCACTATTGCCACCCCCTTAAAGCTGGCAGCGTTCCTGACTAGAACTTCCACAATGACTATCAACTAACCTCTATTGAGTATCGTGCATAATCATACAAAAGATGAACCACACGTTAGTCCCGCACAATCGCCGAGCCAGTCGATGCAGGTACAAAAGTTGTTGCATGCTTCGAAGTTCACCCTTTTTGTTTGCCGGTAATGCGGTACGAAGCATACGCTACTTCCATCTAGGTACGGCTCGCAACTAAAACAACAAACTATTCTCCCTCTGGCTTAGATATGTCACCAGTCAAACGAATCATTCGAGCTAATGGTGTTTAGATCAAGGTTTTAATATTTATGTTGATGCCAAATTGCCAATGCCATCATGTTTTTTTCCCTCCGTCCCATCTTTTTTTATACATTTCGGCATTCGCGCTTGTTATTGGTCTCATCGAGCGGTAAATCGTGGCTGAATGGGTAGGTAAGGTTTTTCAGGGAATCAGGGGTGATATTTATTTTGACGATGGATGGAACTCTGAATGGTTTCAATTGTTTGCGAGGGGGGGAAAGAAGCAAAGTCTTGGATTTCGAATACAAATAATTCTCTTCTTCCTAACTTCATCGTCATAGTCAGTCGATACAGTGTGTAGAAAAGCATGTAACTTGGTAACTTTTGTGTATGCACTCGCAACATTGTCACATCACATCATGTACAAATACAAAGTACT